AAAATTACTAATTATGTACTCCATGCGTTTAAAATTAATCGTCATTTTACAGATACATCTATCTTGTTCGAATCCTAACGAATGATCAGTATTTGATTGACTTTTCTTTTTTATTGTTGCACCTTATACAAATGATTCGGTTTAAAGCAATGTACTATCCTATCAACTGATCATTAATGATTGAAACAAGTGTTGAAATTAAATTGCCAATAAGTAGAGCAGTAAAACTCATACTCATCACCGGGAATTTCAAGGTTATGGAATGACTATTTCGGACTTATATCCATGGAGATAAAGAGAAGCCTCTAAAAACATATGATCCTGAACAATCTATATCTGGTCTTGTACTAATGAGCACTAAATATTTCAACTATTTGAAATTAACTAGCGTTACAGTTATGAAAATCGTCATCGGACCTCCTTAAAATCTGGAACTTCACTTATCTTTTCCTAGGCAAATAAGGAAAATCTTATATACTATATATATGAGATACATAACCAGTGAAACTAGGTTAAATAGTAGCAATTTAGAACCCATAGTTTGAATACAGATTCAATTTAAAATCCATCAAGATTCAAAAACATGTGCTTTCATAGAAATAGTAGGATCAAACTGTTTAATTCCAGGTGGTTAGTAGTAGTTGATAAAAATTTAGGTATATGTTCAGGACACTGTTAACTTCTGTCGGATTTGAATCCGGATCACTTTGTGTCTCAATCACAGGTGTTAATATTAAGTTATCTGTATTGTAAATGATCTGTCATGGTACTAAGTTATTTAAATTAATCTATCCTTTTGCAGTAACCAATTTCATGTTATATTCTCCTAAGTGATCAATCAACTTCATCAATCAATTAGTGAGCTAACTGAATCGATGCTTAACTAAAACCGAAATAAGAACAAAATTAATTATAAGAGTAACGATGTTTCTCATCAATATTCATGCAGAAACGCTACCTAATTAAATTGACAATATGTTACAAAAGCATATTATTTAGTCTCTAGCTTAAAATGAAACATCTATCACTGACTTATTATCTTCATTTTGGTTAGAAAAAAAGACCTCACACTCCATCTTAAATGAAGTAATATGAATATACTTTAGTGGGGCCCTTTATTTTGTCGCCATTTAGATCGGACAATGTTTTTTGACGGGCTCTCCGCTTTAGTGACCCGAGATCTGACTCCAAGTAGATCGTATGAATAATTGTTATTGAATGATTCCTATCGAATGTATGTATATAATCATCGACTTAATTCGCGTTAGTCAGTAACGGAATTAAATAAGTCAAATACTGAAAATGGAGTTTTGGATATATATATTTTGTATATGAAGCGAAAAGAATAGAGAGAAGTAAAACGACGCGCAATGGTGATGGCTCGTAAGTCAACTCCCATTTAACCAAACGTTAACCAATAGTTATAGTTACACAACAGTAAGTAACAGAAAGGTCATAAGTAATGGGATGGGAAGTGTAAACACACACACGTACGCTCATATAAAAACAGTCAAGATTGATAGGGCGGCCTGCTTGAGCATCTGGGCTACCTCGTCCTGCCGTCTAGATATTCCAACAAGTTATCTATTTTTGTTTCTTTTAATATATCATCATGTTTATTAAACGCATAACCTATTCTGCTGCGTTTCTGAAAAGTGTACAACCTTTCGTTGTCAAAGTTACAAAAAACTCAATAAGAAACAATGTGGTTGCTGGCAATATACAACGAAAAGAATGCACATTATTCAGATGTTCATTTACTGAACTACTAACATCTAGCTGGCGATCACTCGATATTTATCGCCAGGACCGACCAAGAAGAAAGAAACGGAAACTTGTTGAAATACTTTGCTCTAAGAATTCTATATTGTACCAAAAATATAATATTGAATAAAGCTGATAATAATAATAACAAGGTTAAAATATGACTCAAGTAGAGGTAGTAGATTGGCCTGTCCGAAAGCTAGGATAAAGTATATGGGCTTAAGATAATAACCGACACTACAATACACAATTTGGTAAGTTGAACGAGCTCTTGTACACAGTTTTTTTTTATTTTATCAACCACAAACTTCCTTAATTTCCCTATCCTTGAATATAAATTTTTGTAGGTGACTGTATTCCATTGAATGGAGTTTGTACAAAAACTATATTTGCTCCATGCTGTAATAATACAGTATGTAAATTGTCTGGGCCATTCTCTGGTAAATGTGTGGAATGCCTTAAACCATTTTCATGGTGTTGGAATGGTGATGAATGTTGTTCAAAACAATGCAGTTGGTTCAGATGTTTGAGTACTGTCGAACAATAAACTAAACATAATTCATTATCTCTTGTCATTTTGTTTATTGTAATGATGATGACTTACTATCTAATGATTTATTTTATCTAATAAAATGTATACTTTAACATTAATGACTATCCTTTTTTGATAGATGTAATAAGTAATATTTTCCATAAACTTTGATGATAAGGTCATCCAATTTGTTAATGTTCTTCATATTATGAAAGATAGAAAAATGGCATTCTTAATTCTTAACTTAAATATAATTCATCGGAAGGCATTCGACATAACGACTTAAATATAAGTTCCGTTCTAGTTTGTACATACCAAAAATAATGGTGTACAAACTTGAGGAAGTTGGTTCTCTCGGTGGAATTTTGACAAGCTGGTACAAAAATTGATAGAAAGTCATATGATACACATTAAAAGTCGCTTTATTACAGAAAAAAATTACATGATAAATTCCATCCTACTGAACTGAATTTTGTGGATGTTACCTCCCCAATTCAACCACGAATAACGAGTTGTGATTAGAGGATATCAGATGTCACCACCTATAACAATCGACAATTATGAATATAAATTCAATGTGAGTGAATGTGCAAATATTAGGTAGAGAAAACCCACATGTTACATTCGACGAGTTCAGTATTAGGTTAAACGTGCAGCATATCGGCATATCTTCACAATTTATTCTGTATAACATACTCAGAAATATTAGACCATTAAATTAATCAATGGGATCTGACTAAAAGTATTAGATTTCATCTGTTATAAGGAAAAATTTCTGACTTTTTTAAGATATTTATGTTGAGAACTAAAATAGCAATAAAATTCCACCTAAGTAATGACTGAATTTGGTGATCCTAACTACTCACTCCACCTTGGCTCCTGACCTAAAGTCAGGCTTGTGATGACCAAAGCAAGATGAATTTGTTAGAATAGTTTTTACCTGCTGTCCTAAAAGGCCGCATAGATAGTCTAAAGAGCCATAGAACTAAAAGCCTTTAATGTAACACTTGGAAGTTAAGTTGTATTTCTAACTAAATCAAAATATGGTAGCAGTAGTGTTTGCCTCAAATAACTAGCATTTCAGAGTTTATTTTCTAAGGCAGAATAATGGATCATAAACAATCAACTCTAAAATCAGCACATTCTTGTTGTATGACATATGAGTGATGATTTAAAAGTCATCTTTATCACTAGAAACCCAAAGGACCTCTATCTACCCAGCCAAATGGAAATTATCTACAAAATAAATGATGATGAACAGTACATATCTAGGCTTTTATCTAATCTTCAACTTCCTTGTCAACACAAATGAATCCGATATTTTAACTCTTCCATTCTTCAAATAATTATCATTATCACATGTTTTCGTCTAGAAATATTTTACGTTACATAATGAGATTGTCTTAATATTATAGAATTACCACCTTAAGCAATCATTAAAAAAGCCCCTTTAAAATTCTAATTCCTAAGTTTCTTTCACACTATATACAACATAGTCCTGATTGATTGATAGTTTATTTCTCAATAATATCCAAATATTATCGAAATTACGAATTAAGTTAGACAAATACCGCGAAAACCATGAGTCACCCGATGGCCATTTCGTAGCAGCATGGGATTCTTCATCAGAAGTGCAGATCCACAATTCCGCAACCGAGAATCCAATCCGAGACCTTCAATCTCATGATTTTAATAAAATCCAATAATCTCCACAATCCCATACTGACAACATACTATCAATTGGAAATAATTAAATATAATAACTTGTGTGTAATTGAACAGAAATAAATGAAACATTAGTTCTTGATTTATTTAAATTTATTAGACAAGATAATGAACTGCTTTCGATAACATGCTTCTTTATCATAATTCCACTCCATCACGAAGCATCTTTATTATAAAAAAAGGATTATGATTCCAGATAATATTCTATGTCATATAAACTGATTGTGACATTCCATCTTGACGCTAAGGATTAGATGATATGATATTAGTTATTATGACGTAGTCAGATAATAGGATGAGTCACAGAGCATGGTATCGTCACTGACTGACACTAAGTTATGCTCATACGGAAATCACAATTCGTATATGGCGAATGCCTATTGTCGCGAAACCTAAGTCTAACACTGCTTTATGAATCGGTGAAGCCACCTAATGTAGAAAATGTGGTTAAAACGAACAGCCTTAGTATCGCTTGATACTTTGTACTACTTTTCTTATGACTGATAACTATTACAACTTGTTTAACCAAGTTTGTAGCTACAGGTTATGAATATTCACAAACTGACATTCATTTTTCACAAAGAAGTTGAATGTTTAGCATTATATTATTTGAACTATTATCACTTTGTTTAAGGTTAATCATGATACTTGTATTTATTAACCTATTTTAAGTTCGAATTTCATTAGTTCGTCAAATGGTTTAGTTAGTATGTGGGTTCACAACTGAATAACTTCAATGATTCAACTGTATGAGAACTAAGTTACAAAACTAATTTACAAATTTCTTTATGAAACACTCAACTATTTTATATGCAGTTGTACACAACTGGCTTTTATTACTTTCGTAACTATATAGTAGTCGACAAATTTTTTTTTACATCAAATGTCTTACATTTTTTTACAAACCAAGCGAAAACGATTGTAACGGGAATGTATTTTTTCATCTTATTGAACTGTCCCGTATTCAAATAAAATTACTTTCATTTCTTTAAACTATACTAGAAGGACTTTTCTCATTCAAGTAGAGCGAAATGTGCCCCCATATTGTAATGTTGTTAAGTTACTGAATAATAGAACAGTATATCGCTACCATTGTGTTTGTAGAAATAGAAAGTTTTAAATATGGTAAGTTACATGTCTATATAAATTATATAAAAGTGTACTACATTTCCTTAACATATAGGACTATATAATTCCAACTTATCAATACATATACCCAAGTCTTTAAAAACATTTTCACATTGTATAAGAAATAAATTATAACAAAAAATATTATGATCAACCACAGTTGTTTCTTAATTTTATTAACCTTAACATGGTATTGGAAATTAGATGCTTTTACAGGTAAGTGATGCTTATATTCTTGTTGTTCCATGACTAATTATTATCGTTCGATGCAGCATCCAAGTACGAGATGGTGGAGAAGATTTGTAGCTTAGGTGAATGATTTTGATGAAGTTTTGTTCTCTGAGCTGGATGGTTTTGTCGTGGAGCTTTTATCGTCCTCTATCTGGTTTGTGTTGATGGTGCCGTTCAGAAGAACGCGGGCCTTGATTTGCCAATCCTTGCCTTTACGTCTGCATCAGATCCTCCACGTTCATCGATAATGCTTCCTAGGTACGTGAAAGACTCCACATCTTCCGAAGTTCCTCCATAAAGTGTGGTTGGGTTCGCGTTCTCTGTGTTGTATTCGACGATTTTGCTATTCCTTCGTGTATGTTGAGATGTACCGCTGCAGAGGCTTCTGCTACACTGGCTGCTTCTACCTGCGTTTTTTATATGTATGGGATAGGAGATATAGGTTATCTGTGAAGTCCAAATCGTCTGGTTGCATCCAAACTGTCCACTGTATTCCATGCTTCCTCTGAGATGTGAAAGTCTTCTTAATCCAATCAATCACCAGAAGAAGGATACCTTCAAGTCAGACGAACTAAAAAATAAGGGCACAAACACCAAATTTATTTAAGTATTCACACGTATTGGTTGCTCATTAGTAATGAATATCACCTAGTTCTGTCTGCTACTGATGTTTAAAATCAATCGAGTTAGGTTGCTACATGACCACCAGGCTTAGTGACCTGAAATTTCAAAACACTATATTTTACTTTATGGGACTTTAAGGAATCCGTATTAAGCCAAACATCTTGTATTAGTTGGTAGTCTACAAGGTGTAATTGCAATCTTAAGGGAATTTTCGCTTTCATAAGATTTAAATTCATATCTTTAAACTTAGTATTGTTGTTACTAAGATAATTCAGTTACAAGTGATCTGTTAATTTAACTAGTTTATTAAAAGTGATCGATCACTGTGCAATAGTTTTCCAACCATTTATTATATTTCATCTGTAATCCTCGTTACAGTAACCTTAGTAACACCTAATATAGATGGTAAATACTGTTATTCATTTGAAACTCGAAGGAGATAATTAGTCATTTATGAACATTTTTACGCGTTCTAACTGTGTAACTAAGTTATTTGAATCATAAATTTTGTAAATAAAACGAATATCGACTATTGGTAAGTGTTTATTTTCAATGTGCTTCAATATCCAAATACTTCATTAAACTAACTTCTAGCGTAATACTAAAGATGACTATGGTTACACAAACTGGTAACTTAGTTCATGTGGAAATGTTTGTCAAGCCTAGTAAATGGGATATTATGAAAACTACAAAACAAATATAGAAAAGTACATCAGTATTACAGAGCTACTACAATTTAACCTTAACCGATTTATGTTACAATGTGTGTTGACATGTAATTTGCTCTTTAAAGTTTTTACCAGGAATAAAATGGGAAATTGTTTAGTGAAATCAAGAAATCTCATTCTAGTCTATGTAGAATAATGATGCTACAAGCTAGTGAATTACTAGCCATGCTTAACTCCCTTTTATTAGTTTGACAAGAAAACGAGTCAGAAAGTAAGCTTATTAATATCAAAATAGCAAGGATGTACTATTCAGTTTTACTCTTGTTTCTCTCAACACAAGATTAAACAATTCAGGAATTTTTATGCTCAACCTCAAAAATTATTACGATTAACTATTAACTTTCCTGTTAATTGAAGGTTTATTAACTGTTTGTATTAATCTTAAAGGGGATTATATCAAAGGAATAAATTATGTAATTTATTTCTGAACATCATCATTTGTAACCCAGAACCTATCGGTCCTCGTGTGCGAACGCTTTACCTCTAGACCACTGGGGTCCTGGGTTCGAATCCCTCGGGGTGGGATCATGAATGAGCCTTGCTGAGGAGTCACATACTGAGACAAAAGGGTCGTCTAGTGCTTCTAGGTATTCCATGATGATCTAGCTTTAATTGAATCATGAATTCAACTATTAAATTACTAAAATCTCCACAAAACCCCTCTGTGATAATTATCATTTACGTTAAAACTCTGTTTTATTAAACTATCGAATTTCATAAAAAATTGGACAATAAAGCATCGCCATAATTTTCAACTTCAAAATAGATGTAAGACTAATAAAATACTTCACTTTATAAAACTTTAAGATGAACAATGTATTTACCTAACCATCAGTTCTCTTAGATTTTGTATTTTATCCTTGTTGTGAATTAATATTGAATGAATAAGTATCTAATGGCATATCATTTCACTAAAACATTAACCTAACGAATTACTCCAACATTTGAAGCATTGGAAACTGTGTTGGAGCTTTATTATAAATATAAACATGAATGTAGGAACATTTACCTGACAAGTCTGATGAGAGAGAATCACATTGACCACGTCCAGAAACAAACTTATTTTTCCATTATCACAAAATGTATTTAAATCAAATGTTTCATAGCTTAGATTCGTTATACTACTTATACTGTTATGAATGGTAGAGTTTCCAAGTATATTTACACAGCCATAACTAATCCCTATTGCATTTATGTGAAGTATATCGGAATAATAAACATTAGTATTATAACACTTATTAACTGGTATATTATCAGGAATCAGTGATAACTATACAGTTGTTTCTACCTAGTTTGAAACTTTTTAGAAGTCTACACAAAACAGAACCACAGAAATTCAATTTCAGGAAAGAACATGATTTATTTGTATTTCTGGTTGTAAATGTAATAGTTCATATGTTTAATCTCATTCAACTTGTTATTTGAAAGTAAGTTATATCATTAGCAAGTTATAACCTCACTGCTGAGTTTTTAATGATTTATAAACTGGAGTGAAACTATTGATGAATGCCCCTATGACTTACACAACATCTATATCTAATGTTAATCTGTAATTAACATTAATTTCAAAATGAAGAAAGCCTTCGAAAAACTCATAATTTAATGGATTTATCAGGCAAATTACAACTAAACATTGATATTGATTATTTACGTTCTCTTTTTTCTTCATAGGTCGTTGTAAATCTGAAGGACAAAATTGTACCAAAACAATATTTTCACCATGTTGTGCAAATTCCACATGTCAACTACATGGATTATTTAAAGGAATTTGTGTAAAATGTTTACCTGAGAAACATTTGTGCTTATCCAGTAGTGAATGTTGTACAAATTATGTAGTTGGTTTCGATGTATCATGACAAATTAGATATAAACTGATTCATTCATTTACAATTGATGATATTCTTATACAAGTAAATTGACTAGTTATCTACCAAAAAAATATAAGTTTAAATGTTCTTAAAACTTGTTTAACCGCAATGAGTTCATTTATGGTTCTATGTTACAATGTAATCATATTTGACACTTAAAAACACACTGTAATAATAATAATAATAAATGTTTAAGTAAAAATGCATAACTACTGAGAGATCCAAGAATAGGAATGAATCTTAAATTGTCTTCCTCTTTCAAGATTATATCTAGAGCATTAGCTTCAAACATATAACAGTAAAACATTGTGAATGTGAACTTGATCAATATAACTCAGTAAGTACTAGAGAATAGATAAACATGACAATGCTTATTATGCAGTGACTAATCAACATGAATATCAACCGATGATTTTGTATATGCGTAACTTTCAATGTAATATATAGCTTCTTATTGACTTTTATTTTAAAACAGCCTTGACATCTGAAATATTAAACTAATTCCAGATGAGAGAAAACTTTCACTGTTTTTTTTTTGCAACTCATTGTAGCTAATTACCTGACATTAATTAAAACTCTTTTGACTTGTCTGTACCAGTCTTGTGATAAATGATTCATAATCAACAGTAAACGATCAAATTTCCATTTCTCGTCGATAATCGTAGACTTAACAATATAAGTGCCTTTAAGTAAGATGTCACATGGAACATATGTTGAGGTTGGTTAGTCTTTAAACTCTTACTTCTACGAATCGAAAAGATCACAATTAAATTAATTGAAAGCCGATCATTATAAATCTTATTCAAGTAAACTTATTAATTGTTAAAAGTAAATCTCTTCATATCTGTTCATTTCAAAAGATTTACGATGAACAGAATATCTCGAACAAACTTCGACTTTACTTACTGTTAAGGTGAAATAGATTTTTCTCAATCTAAAATTATGATCATTCTATCTCCGTATATATTGTCTTTTATTAATATTGATGGGAATGACAAAATATGTACGCCTCAAAGCAAGAAACTTCACACCATCTCCTATCTATAACCTGTTCCTTTTAGTTTTATATTTTCTATACTAAAACAACATACATAAGCGAACAATAGTGTTTCTCAATTAGATCGTTATCAGGCTTTAACGGAATATACATGAATATTTACGAGACTACTGAACCAATAAAGGCAATTTATGAACCAAATATCACAATGAAATACACGGCATATCCAAACATAATAATCAGTCTCGGGTTGTTGAGATTGAGTTTGATTGTTATCATGGACCGATCAATGTTGGACCACCATTGGAAAATGGGAAACATCAGCTAGTCATTTAACTTAGTATGGGACTCTTCAGTAGCGCACATCTACGATCTTGCACACGAGACTTGAACCCTAGATCTTTTGTCTCTCGAAAACGCTTAACCTTCAGACCACTAAGTCAGCATCCATTAGTGTTAATTTCCAACTCCTATCACTACACGACATTTCACGACTATCTTTTATTGTCTTTAGTGAGTAGAAAGTTGGTTCATGATTTCAATGAAATAATTAGATGATAAATGATAAGAATTAAAAGAGGTGAAAAACGATAAACAAATACAGGATGTGAAAAAATTTGTGAAATCATTTAATAAGTCATATCGGGGCAAGGAAGTAACACGAGTTTTATGAATTTCTTCGGAACAAATGAACGAAGGTTATAGATTTGGATACCTCTAGCTTCTGATACACTTAGGAGACGGGACCAAACCCTATTTGGAAATCACAACAGTATACGATAAGTCACTGGGAATGATTTGGTTTTATCTACCATATGACCCCTGAAGGGAAGCGGAAAAGAGGAAGGCCTAAGAATACATTACGTTGGATAATAGAAGCAGATATGAAAAGGATGAATTACAACTGGAAGAGCTGGAAAGGATTGCCCAGGACAAGGTTGGATGGAGAATGCTGGTGAGCGGCCTATGCTCCTTCACGAGGAGTAACAGGCGTAAGTAAGTAAGTAAGTAAGTACCACTGTCAACCAGTGGCGCCAATTATCGTTCATTACATTCTAGTATTACGCTCGATATATTACATTTAAAAGCTTTATCGCGTGGTACTAAATTTTGTGACTATGGAAATAGAATAAAATAAACTAGATACTGACATGAAATTTCAGAATTTATTTTCACAAGCAACAGATTTGGTACCGACCTCACTCTAAGAACTTACAAGATTTACGACCACATTAGTTAGCATCTCCAAACAACATCAAAACAGTCAACATACCATGAAACTTCCACTTACCAAATCATATCGCAATGCTCCATATAAGCTTAGAAAAAATAAAACCAATCATTTATAATTCTTCATATCATAAAGCTGAGGAGTCATTAGTTCGAAACCTGGATCCCCTACACAGATTAGTCTTTAACTGAAGAATTTAAAGCGTTTTTGATCATACTTCCAAAGTGAAACATAATAATTTAAGTGAGAAACGAATGGTTTCTTTGGATAGTGCTTCCTAATTTACTATTAACTGACACATTTGATTATTTCATGAGTCAATTGAAGCTAGACCACCATGGAGAATCTGGAAGCACTGGATGACCGTTTCGTCCTAGTATGGGACTCCTCAGTAGTGGTCTAGCTTCAATTGACTCATGATTTCAACCAGTGAAATTTCTAAAAAATCTCCACAAAACCCATTCTAATAATTGATTATGTGTCAGCAACTAATTAAAAAAACATATCAATACTGGAATTTCCGAGTTTAGTCTCAAATGATTATGTTTGAATTGTAAACTAAACGTTCACTTTGTCTGTAATACTACTTATTATCAACAAATAATTGGAATACATATGGGTTCACCTCTAACTCCTACCCTTGCTGATTTTTTCTCCTACAAGTAGAAAACGAACTTCTCAAGGAGGCTATTATTAAGATTAAATTTTACTGCCATTACATCGATGATACATTAATTATCTTTGATCAAAATATTGGGAAAATGAAGCTCTTAGAGAAATTTAACAATACACATCCAGAAATCAGACTTACATGTGAAGAGAAACTTGGTAACAAATTACATTTCCTTAACGTTTTGTCAAAGGAAAAGATAAAGATTCTGTCAGTAGAAGTGTGCATAGTAAAAGTTCTTCGACAAGCCAGTTCACATAATTCATATGTTTTGTGCCCTTCTGTTACAAGAGAAACCTATTTAGATGATGTCGTGCAAGTAGAGCTAGAAAGATATGCTCAGATGACGCCAAAAACAAGGAACAAGAGCTCACTTATAATATTTTGATTGGAATTGGGTTATCCGCAAGGTTTTCCGAAGAAACATACACACTGAATAGGAAATTAGTGGTATTGACTGACTAAAGTAATAAAGAGGACTTTTGAATGTAGCCAACCTATGTCTATCATTTTATAGCTGATCTACGGTGGTTATTTACCATATTCTTTCTTCGTTTGTCTTTCCTCACCTCTTTTCAAATATAAACTTCAATGTATAAATTATCTGAACACTACTTGCTTACGCTTGTTACCCCTTCTGGAGATTGGTTTAATATTTTCATATATACTTGTATATATTTATACATATTACAGTAATGCCTAATCATTATCTAACCGGAAACAATATTGTTTACTTATAAATTTTGATCTAATTTACATTATTTATTGTCTGATAAGTGATACTATTCAAATAGTTTCTATGCAAATAAAAATTGTTATTCCATAAACAGGTTAATCCAACAGTCGATTCTATCAATAATAATAATAACAATAATAATAATACATCAGATATGCAGTACGGAATGCATTAGCGAAAAATTCACATTCCTCAAGAAAATCTTGACGAAAAATGGTTACCCAGAACGTTTCATAGAAAAGAATATGAATAGAAGTAGTTGCGACAGGAAATCTAGTTGTTCCGTCCCGAAGAAAAAGCTTTATATAAGTCTGGAATTTAAAGGTGATAGAACATCAGACGTAATCAAAAATCGTCCAACAACAACGATTAGAAGAACATTTAACGCGGCTAAACCGTGAATAACCTTCACTAGTAGGGACTTATTTTCTGTATCCATAAAAGATACGCTTCCGCGTCTGGTCGCCTCTATGTGCAACTACCAGTTCACCTGCTCTTGTGGAGCAAGGTATATTGGCCGTAGCCAGCGCTCGCTTTCAACTCGGAAACGGGAACATATCCCAGCTTGGTTCTATAAGGGTGAAAGGAAAACAGTTAGGAGTTCTATACTTGAACACCTAATCGACTGTAACTATTCTACAGATCCACAATTTGATTTTAAGGTTGTTTATATGATTCGTTCAAATCTACCCAGATTTCTTCGTATCCAACTCATAAAAATATCCGAAGCTCTTACCATCCAGGAGCTTAAACCAGAACTGTGCGTACAAAAGAAGTTCGTCTTATCGTTATCTTTACCTTAGTCTTAATTATTTTGATTATCCTATTATTATTATTATTATTACTGCATTCTCCCCTTTACTTATGTCTAATATTCTCATTAATTTATTCATAAATACTCATCATATCATCTTATTTATTTTTACACCTCTATGACCTTTAATTATTGTAACAAAAACATTTGATCAGAAGGGGTTTGTGGAGATTTTTAGAAATTTTCACAGATTGAAATCATAAGTCCGTTGAAGCTAGGCCACCACTGAAAACCTGGAAGCACTGGACGACTGATTCATCTTAACCCGGGACTCTTCAGCAGTGTGCATCAACGATTCTGCACTCAGGACTCGAACCCAGGACCTTCAGTTTCGTGCGCAAACGCTTGACCATTGAGCCAGGTCTTCAACAGTGGTCTAGTTTAAACCGACTCATCAACTCAACTATTAAATTACTACAATCTCCACCAACCCCCTTTCTGAATTTAATCGAGAAAAAGCATTACTATACCATATGTCCCGTGAACAAACTGTTTTCAAAACAATATTCTTGCTAGAAGTCATTGTAAGTCATTATATAACTGAATCAGTGAATGTATTTATAAGTCTCACGGACACAAACTACATACTAGAAATGATTATTTAAACAGAAACTAAAGCTTACTATAATATTTTTTAATCTAAGACCTTCTTGAACTATAATAATAATGGTCATACATGAAATGCAAAAGTTTACATTCTTACTATTTGTCTAGGATGGTTGTAATATGTCAGCCAGCAAGTAAAGAGGGAAATATAATCAAATATTAACTTCGACTGTAAATGTACCGGATTTTTTGAGTGCTGATTAAGCATAATTTTATTGGAAAGAACTACTTTTCAAGTACATATAATATAAAGACTTTAGAGTTAAACAATTATCGGTCTAGAAGTTAAGAGTTCATGCGCGAGACCGGTAGGTCCTGGATTTGAATCGTGGATGAGCACTGCTGAGGAGTCCCACAATGGGAATGAAACGGCCGTCTAGTGCTTCCAAGTTTTCCATGGTTGTCCAGCTTCAGATGATTGATGATCTCAACTACTAAAATTACTATAATATCTACAAAACCCCTTTTAATGTCAATTATCATAATGATTATTCTGAACTAAAACAAAAACAAAATAAGCTCCCATAAACTATCTTACTGAAATGATCAATTAAAATAATCAAATTACTTACCCGATGATTAATCACAGAACTTTTGACTTTTATTTTAAGTTACTGATAAGTAGTGTATATTATCAAACTCAAAATGTTTTACGGAAAAAAACAAGTTATAATGCATTACAAATTATATTCTTTAAAAAAACTTGTCAGAATAACAGATCGCTTTCAAAATATTGATTGGTCAAACAATAATGTTTATAAATCCCGACATGTAAACCAATTACAATACCCTGAACAACATTCTGAATGTTTCCAACATCTATTTCCTGAAGTTAAACATTCTACACATTCTCCATAAAATGGTGCACTTAGTTTACATACAGTACCATCGCAACATCTGTCAAAAATAGTTTTTGCACATGTTTCACCAATTGCTTTACAAGCATCTGAAAAATATGCAGAGAAATAAGATATCAGTTTTTAATTTGTGTAAGTAAATAAATAAACCAAGTAGATAAATTTTAATACTTAAGTTATTCTGATCCAGCTTGGAATGTTCCTAAGTTAACTGATACAATAAAGAAATTATAGAACCTTCTATGAACAGACGTACTTTTCATCTTCATGTGATTAATTTACAACGAGTATCAAGGATAACTGAACGTAACCATGAAAAATGTGTTGTAAATTTTCCAGTATGGGGGTTATGGAAATTGTTAAGTTTTTTGATTGAGATCATGAACCAGTTGATGTTAGACCACCGTTGGAAACCTGGAAGCACTGGACGGCCGTTTCGTCCTAGTACGGAACTCCTCGGCAATTTCGTAGATTGGTTGATGTTAGACATTAACACCATTAGGTGCCGGCTCAGTGGTCTAGTTGGTTAAGCGCATGGCGCGAGAACGATTGGTCCTGTGTTCGAATCTCGCGTGGGGTGAGATTGTAAGTTCTTATTTGATATAAAATCCATAAACAATCATCCCAGTTAAGCTACTTTTAGAATGAACCATTTTAATACTGAGTTTGACTATTTAACTAGATACAAAAGTAACATCAACATTGAATACGATGTTAACGTACCAAAATTATTCTATTTCATGAACATCCAGGTGACTTCAAGTTTGTTACATTTCCCCGTATTTATCCTAATGAAAAGTCTCTAGCATATTTGACATATCCTAAACGATACATTCGTCAATCTACCATTACTTCAGTTCTAAAAAATTCCCTAGCGTAAAAATTACTTTTACTTATTCTTCATGATCAAAATCAATCTTCAATATCAGAAGCCAAACAACTTAAACATTTACTCATAATGATATAAACGTCATGCTATTTGAATCGGTTAGGTACTATCTGGATTCAACAGTTATATGTATAACACTCTAGGTGTTTATAGCGAAACGTACTGAGTTCGACACTCAGTGTACTCAAGGAATATTTGCCTGAAAAATCTCAGATATGATGAAATAGCTGGCTACAAACCATTTATTCTAGATAACTTGTGATTCGATGATTACACTTAGGGAACCCTTACAGAGTGCATATATGTCAAAACGAATGACTAAACCTTAGTCTTGAATATCGACAATGCGATCATTTAAACCTTCATTAATAATATTGTGGTGTGTGTTACTGATGTCAGCAGATGTAAGTAGTATATATCACTAATCAAAAGTGGAATGTCTGGTGGTAGAGGGTTAAGAAAATCTAAGAGGAGAAAATGAAGGAACAACAAAGTCTGAGACGATTGATTAGTATTTTGCTAATGAAGTATTTACTGTATGGTTCTCAGATTGCACCAAGATATTCTATAATGTTGCATTAAAATATATTTGCTTGTCCATAATGTTGTTCTCGTTCACTACAATATTATAAGCTATTTCTATGTTTGGTAATGTATTTCATACAAATAAAGTTTAGTTTTGACAAAACTAAATATTAATAACGGCAGCCCATGTATTGATAATCTAGTACCAATTAACAGGGTGAACACTCAAACCTCTTTAGAGCTATACACTATAGGATTTAGTGATCCATTATAGGCAAACAAAACATTTCTGCTGAAATCTATTCACCATCTGTAATCAAACAAGTCTTTTAATTAAAACATTTAAATGGATTCTACTGAATGGTATCTTATATCCAAGGCATTTATAATCCAAAGAGTTTTTCACCAAATTGATAAACGTTAGACATCCATTTCAATTACATTTAAGCTTGAAATATTTGATATTTTTTGAGTAATAGACAGTGTAATGACCATTATAACCATCATGATTAAATACAAATATCAGTATAGGGTTATGGAGATTGTTGAGTTTAAATTAATATCATGAATGGATCAATGTCAGACCACCATTGAAAACCTGGAAGCATTGTGAATGCTCACTGCTGAGTCCCATACTAACACAAAACGGCCATTCAGTGCTTCCACGTCTTCAATGGTGGTCTGACATTGATCCATTCATAATATCAATTTAAATACAAATATATTGCAAAGCTAAATAGACATGTTTTTTTCTAAGTATTGAGGTATATTTAGCCAACATTTTTAAAAAGGACTTCAATATTTCTTTTATATTTTACTACTTGGTTTAAATATCAACTAGTTATTTGATCATAAAGAACATGAATTTCCATAATGATAGTTTAACTTATAAATACTATTAAGATTGCTTCATTGGATTGTTTAATGCTTTGTTAATTAATCCTTTGAATGTCCTATAATATATCGATCTACATTTCTGTTACAACGTAAACAAAACGTTCTCTAAGGTATCATATGTGATACTATGATTCAGTGATATGTAACAGATAAATAGATCATACCATTGTGTCATAAAATTGTTTAAATCATATTTATTAATTATATTTCTTAGTTAGATTCATGAGTCAATTAAATCTATATCACCATGGAAAGCCTGGAAGCACTGGATAGCCGTTTCATTCTAGTATAGGACTCAGAAAAGCGCATCCACAATCCTGCACGCCGGATTCAAACCCAGGTCTTATCGGTCTCGCACGCGAACGCTTAACCTTTAGACCACTGAGCCGGCCGGCATCCAAAGGTGTTAATGTCTAACTAGGATGAAACGGCCTTCCAGTGCTTCTAGGTTTTCCATGGTATTCTAGCTATAATTGACTCATGAATCCAACTATTAAATTACTAAAATCTCCGCAAAACACCCTTCTGATAAGTTATATTTCTGTTAAAGAATTTTTTTGTTGTTAAACTAACAACAAACTAAAGTAACAACGTTATCAATACTAATCTGCTTACTAATGAAATACTGAAGTTTAATGATAGATCTCATTCCACATCATAATTTAGTATTATTCTAATTTGGTAATGGTAAATAAATATCTGAAATCTGATCATTTATTTCCTATGTATCTATATCACTAATATAACCATAGATAAATGGCTAATTTATTTACTTACCAACGTTATAATTTGCTCGCAATGAAAATACCAGAACGACAACAAAAATCGAGCTGTAAAGTTTCATCTTCCTTGTCAAGCAAAGTGTTCTTTAATAGCAAAGGTTGTAATGTCTCATATATATATCAGACTTTTAAAAGGCAGAAACATGTTTACTACTATCAATGCTGCCAAACTAGGCAAATACGAATCTAATTTAATTACTTCCGGTATTTAAATATACTTGTTGTATAAGTAAACGTCTATACTAGTTGTACACCATCCTACATTGATATGATTCTTTTTTAACCTGATATCTCTTTTCATATAAATGTATTTCTGGTGTTTTTGATGCAATACATTTCTGTAATTCAATTCGACTTTAATTTTACAATAACAGTTGCTCTATCTCATGTTCCGAATCCATTGAGAATAAAGTATGGAGAGTCCAAATAAACCTACCTTACATGATTACTAGAAATTGTGTATACAGTTTTTATGTAAATTTTACGAAATTAAGCTTAATTAACACCAAGTATAGTCTATCACATTATTAAACTATTTGAATCCTTAATCAAAAGATGGGGCTTAATTAATGAATTTATTCTATAATGGTGGTTAGAATATGTCACCTATTTGATATTTCCTCTTACAAATGTATTGAATAATATAAATCACACATCTTGAATCCTGTTAGTAACTGCAATGCAAAAATATAAGAAAACTTTTAACTATAAGCAACATTCAGGTATCTGTTCAGAATATGAATATGCCAAGATTCAGTATTTAATATCAACAACGAACAAACACTGGTTCATGGAATTCATCTATATCTTTAGTGGAAGAGGTATTACCAACGACACTTGATGATTATTATGCCATACAGCAAATACATTGAATCCGGATTTACTTATCTACAAGTGATGTTTTGTTTGTAAAACTTGGGACTCTGAACTCGATTTTGCGTTTGGTTGCAATGGTTTTAAGTAAAAACAAATCAAAGGTTCAATATTTCTCTGATGAATAACTATTTGCGTCAACATTGGTTTCAAAGGTAGATAGCAGGTAATTAATTTCTTTAAAAATGAAAGTCAAGATTTCCAAATAAGTGTTTAAAGCCTCCATCATTTCTTGAAAATAACATTAATGATATACTAGGATTAAACTGAAGCTAATTGTTTACATACAGCCCCTTTAATTTGATCTTCATAAACCAAGTAATGAATATTGAATTAGGTTTTCCATTTCTTTACATCTTTATAGGGTTTTCAGGTTATTCAGATTCTAAATTTAGATCACTGATACTTTTGCGGCCGAATCGAAATACTTAATATATATATGGTTTTTTGTGATACATTACGTAATCTTGAAAATTAGGAGTCTTTGTTTTAACTATGATATTTGTGACAGATTATTTCAAAGATAACCCAAACAAACGATTTCTTTTATTGCTTATTTGACGCCTGTTTTTATAGGATCAACTTTAGCATTCTTATTTACCTTCAACCCCATTGTTCACCTTATTCTTTAAATTACACACATTTTTGAATAGTTTTTTTTATGGTATTCATCCTAAGTGTGTTTTACTGACGTATAGTCACTCATAGATACTTGATTCAATATCAATCATTATATATCTTCAAACATATAGACCCATTACAGTAACTTAGTAAACGTAAGAACAAATAAATCTAAGTGATTTATCAAATACAAGTTTGTGCAAATTAGGACTAATCATACTGCGCTGCCGCCTAAACGAAAGTCAATAAACTGAGGTTCCAATCTGCGACCTACCAAGTAAAGCCAAATACTTCCCAACTTATTTATTTATTTATTTCAACACATAAATATCGGTACAAGAGGGCACCAAATATATATGCGCCAGACCACATTTGTGTGTGTGTCGGCTGTGATACTGTCCGGGTGCCCAAACCAAACCAAGTAGTTTTCTTAAGGGGCCACACCCTGAGCCTTTGACCTAAATGTCTAACCCACGAGGCAGTGGAGCATCGTGAGAAGATGAATTCCCATGGTAGCCGGTGACCAACGATTGGTTCATACGCCATTTGTTCCCGCAGGATACTGGAGCCCATGTGCACCATTGGTTTGGGATCCGGTTAAAGCGCCGGACATTCGCTTTCCGTACTCTCACTTTCGTAAACAATACCCCCGCCACGAGAAGGCACTGAGTAGGAATTCCCTGGCAGAGGCTGTATACGCGTGGCCGTGTGAGAGCATTTCGAGAGGGAGGGCGGGCCGACCCCACTCTCGGCCATACTAGGGCATTTGGGGCACTTCCCAACTAAATGGCTATATTTCATGATCCAGACATAAAATATTGTCATATAAAATAACCCTTTTCTTTAGGTATCATGGATTATCTCAAAATGCCCAAGCTATTTAGAATGTAGACTTCATGATACTTAATATTATTTTCTATGATAATATTTGTGTAAATAATTCAATTTAGAATAACACACTAGAAAACAGGGAGCAAGTCTACAAAACCTCCAGTCTTTCATAAGTGCTTTAAGTCTTGATTCTTTAGATCACCTATTTTTATCTATTGAATTAAGGAAGGAAAACATTTCCGAGATTTGTTCTCTCGAATGTTTCTAAATATTCATGAAAACATAAACTTCATTCATTATTTCTCCTTTCAGGCAAGCCCTAACTTGGAATCCTGGAGGGAAGCGGAAAAAAAGGAAGAGCAAAAACACATTACGTCGGGAAATAGAAGCAGATATAAAAAGGATGAATCACAACTGGAAAGAGCTGGAAAGGATTACCCAGGATAGGGTTGGATGAAGAATGCTGATGAGTGGCCTATGCTCCTTAACGAGGATTAACAGGCGTAAGTAAGTAAGTAAGTAATTTCTTCTTTCATAAGTCGGATCATATTTTTGTTTCAATGTTGCTAAAAATGAGATAACAATATAAAATTTCATTGACTATTCATTCATCATATTCAAATTCTCAATAAATTTTATGAAAAAACACATTCAAATTATTTACGAACAACATTTAAAATTCCTTAATTGATTATAAATGTCCCCAGTTTAATAATGATGTTTTTCATTTGTACACTTTCCTAAAGTACATTTGTGTGAACAACAATTTTTATCCGATATACAAAGGGTACCCCCTTTTAAGCATTTGACACATTTCCCATGAAATGGTGAAGTTAAATGACATACTGTATCACCACAACATCTGTCAAATACAGTTTTACTACATTTCTCTCCAATTGCACGACACCCTGAAATTGATATAAAAAGTACATTGAAATTAAAAATTTAATCTTTTATTTTCTTGTCAATATGATAAAATATAAAGGATTAAGACAAATGTCAATGGTAGTAATTATTGATTAAAGTTTAATATAACACTTTATTGAAACTAATGCCTAGTCAACTGTTTAAATGTCTTGAGTCCAATCCCAGTATGAATCGTGAAATCTTCGCTAGTCACTGCCGTTATGGAAATAATAAATCTGTTTTTAAAAATATTTTCCAAGTTTCAACTACTTCGTTTTAAAGTTTAAACGTTAACGCAAAGTTATTTGGTTAAGAAACTTGGAGAAAACTAATCATCGTTTTCACCAGTTATACAGTTTGAATGATAAGTATTCGGTCACCTAAAATTTGTTGAATTCTATCAGGTTTAAACGAATTAAAGAGTTCCTAGCAAGGTAGATAATCACTCGTAATCTAAATAGTTGTGTTCCTATTACGTTCTTAGGGACCTGTCAAAATGCTCAATGTTTGAAGTGTAAAAACCTTGACTGGATAAAAAACCTAGATCCTAGTTTCAGTTCCTAAGCAACTAGATTAATCAAATATATGAAGAGCATTTTGTAATTAAGTTATGGTTCTGTTTTACCCATTCATTGTCAGTGAATATTGTTATACAAAGGTTCAAAATATTAGGCCGGTTGGAGGTAGATGACATGACGCACTTATAGATAAGATATAATTAGTACAAAAGTCCTAGAGAAACATAACATTAGTCACTTATCTATGATTGATCAGTAATAAACAAATTTGTATACCTGATTAGTTAATTTAAGAGGCACAGTTAGTTACAACACTATTTCGTAATTCAAAGCCATAGTGACGTGCTACTAATTTCTGATTATTTCTCAATTCATTTCCTCATATCTCTCGGATTACTATCATATATTTATGTGCTGAATTCCCAATCATTTCTCCTGGTTTTCGTGCTTTTACGTACATACAGTCTTTTGATAGCCAAATTTTGGGATAAGTTAGGTTAATTACCGGAACTAATTAAAAACAGAAATGGAAGTAAAGAGACACTTGAAAAATACTTTTATTCTGATTCTACGCCTTTCAGAATAAATTGTTCATAGCTGAACTTTCATATTTCAAGACTACAAATCTGATGGATAATATACTTTCAGTCCGACATTTTTTGACAATTTACTAACCATACTCTTTTCAGATTCCTCTATCTACAAACAAATCGTCCTTTTTGTAGATATACTCAATATCAAAATGTATGTATATTATCAAACTAAACGTTCATTCAACTTAAACATGATAATTGTTTCTATGAAAATGAATTCTAACTTAATATAATGTGGGAATAACTTAAGCTGTTTCAACTGAAGTATGCTATTGATTGAATGTATTCTATAGGACGAACTGATATCAGCTTGACGATGACTTTTTTACAATTGATTGATCACTCAGTAGTGACCAATATAACTTGTGTCAAGTTCTTCTTAGTGCTAGTCTAGTTGTGGATACATAAGGTCAGTTGCCAACCTAATGGCTCTGTGGTAACGTCTCAGACTGGGAATTTGAATGACATAAGATTGAATCCGTCAAGGAGCATCAATTCCTTCGAAATTACAAATACGCTTTGTGGATGAATGCCAGTTAGCATAAAACCTAGATACAAGGAGATAACTATCACTCACTTATAAGTGATGTCATTTCTTGATAAAAAGTAACTATCAGTTGACTAACTTAAAAAAAATTAATAATAATAAAATATTAGATGGGTTTTGTGGATATTATAGTAATTTCAATGGTTAAGATCATGATTCAGTTGAAGCTAGTGCTCGTGAGCGAAACCAATAGGTCCTGGGTTCCAATCTCGCAAGGGGCGAGGTCGTGGATGCGCACTGCTGAGGAGTCCCACAATAGGACGAGACGGCCGTCCAGTGCTTCCAGGTTTTCCATGGTGGTCTAGCTTCAACTGACTCATGATCTTAACCACTGAAATAATAAAATAGTGTACAACTTCTCACCTTTTCCATGAATGTTCTCCAACAATAATGTCAAAATGATTGTAATAAATAAAAATGATACTTTCAACATATTGTTTGTTAAATGTTTGTTTTGGTACAACGAAAAATCTCCATCTGTCAACGATATATATATATAAACCTGTTGACTAACCCAAAAAGGGGTGCCCATTTCATCTATTTTACAGTTATTATTTTAGATAACATACAATTAGAATAAAATGCTTTCCTATGATTATTTGAACTACATAACGACAGTATTATTTATTTACTTAATTGCTAACAATTAAATTATATCTGACCCTAACTAATTACCGGAAATAAGCATAAAACTAATTGTTTCTTATAAATGTTTACTAGTAGATGTTATTTTTCTATTTATATTAACTATCTATTTGGTTTCAAGTTGATTTGTGAGTTTGAAGTTTTAATCTGTCAATGATTAAAGAAGGTTTATTTATGTAACTGCGAATATTCACAAAGTTCTTTCTATGAACTTTGTTTGTTCGATCTACTAAGGTTCATCAATAAAATTTATTCGGAACCTTTAAGTAATTTTTCATTTTTCCTTGAGTCCTAACAGCTGTCTACTCAAAATACTTCGAATCCGTTGGCCAGACACTATCAACAACAACCTACTGTGGGAGAGAACAAACCAGATCCCAGCGGAGGAAGAAATGATGTAACCATTTAAGCAATTAAGTCAGTCTATGATTTGATATAATTACAACACAATATTGAATAAATTTAAAAGTTGCATTTTTTAAATTTATTTGAATAATAATTTATTAGGTATTAAAACAAATTGCTGTTGTTGTTTTGAAAACATTCCTTATAGTAATTGATTGTATCTAGGTGTACTTGTATTAATTCTCAAGTAACTATTATTATTATTGAAATCACGTAGTGATAATAAGCAATCGTCCTGTAAATTAGTTAACCAAGATTCTTGAATTGTAATGACACTACAATTACAATACATATTTTGACTTAGTAGGAATTGAAGATAGTTCACCTTGGTATTTAGTGATCGACAGTTAGAATTTAACAGTTCGGGAATCGACACATTGCATATTGCCAACGACAACGATGTCTCTTATTGTACGTTTTTGTAACTTGTGCAGCGAAAGGTCATAAGCTTTTCATATACGTGCCTGTATATGTTATGCGATTAGTAGACATAATGTGTTAAAACAAAAAAATTTTTAAAAACATAACTTTTTGAAATATTTAGATGTTAGAAACAGGTAGCCTAAATAATCAAGCAGGCCACCGATTCGATCTAATATGCTAACTATATCTATTTAATAGGAAAACCCTGAGAGAGCCTGCGGTATTAGTACTGATGATAATAATAATAAACGAACATCATTTGGTGATTTTTTTATTTAGCTCCTTCATCGAGACATTGAATAGGTTGTCTGCTTAACTAGCAAATTAACTAGCAAATTAAATTTCATTAACCATTAAGCAAAAATCACTGTTTTTAGGCTCTATCGCTGACTATAGGAATATGTCCGTGAACAGAAGCCAATAATCTGTTCCACGATATGTTGAAATTTCATTTTATGTAATTAGTTTCTAGGTTAAGTAAAATGCTTAACAAAATTTGATTCTTTAATTAGTAGCAGAAATTATGTTTAAAATATGAACTCACTAACAGGGTAGTTGATTCTTTTCGATATGTAGTTATCTTGATAGGTTACCAAAACTCTTCATAATCATAACGCTTTCTCAACAGATATCATTTAGAGACTATGTATTCGTAATCGATCTTTTTGGAATTCTATCTTTCCTATAGTTGCAGGGTTTTCAGATGAAACATCTTCCAGGTGTAGTTAGCAAATAACTCATCGGATTCCAAAATAATTTTTCCATCGAAAAATTTGAGTACAGTCAGTTATTTTATGAAGTAACATTTATGTTTAATGAATAAATATAAAAGGCCAAATTTGCAATACTTGGTGAGGTTCTATGTAGTATATACTTCTAAATTACCAATAAAACTAAATAAATTCTTGGTAAATCCGAACTACATCACTTTTAAAATATAAGGTAATATAGTGAAGATTGATTTAAAAAGTCTTAAAAGCAATTCTGACTACTCATAAGTAGCTGAAATTAAATTGATTTAAACCTTTTACGATCAAGTAGATAAGATTAATGAAATTTATAAAATAGCATAAGTTGAAAAACATTGAATAACGTTAGATGGTGGTTGGAGGTAGTCAACAGGAAACCCTGGACCCGGGTTTCGTGCTACTTGGCACTCGTCAGCAAGGTGTACCTGTAATCTTGGGGGAACTGGTGCTCCCTGGCCGATTCGATCTCGTGTCACCCAGCTTCACAGTCAGAGACGTTAACACTGAGCTATCCGAGCCGTGACTAACCTCCTGTAGGACTGAGATGTAATCACAATTGATTGATCACTGGGTGGTGATCAATCTCATGCTTGTCTAGTCCTAGATTGATAGCATTCGATCTGCACTAATAAGGACTAGACAAGCATGAGATTGATCACCACCCAGTGATCAATCAATTGTGATTGAATAACGTTCTCATCACAGTTCCTATTTTTTATGCCTGATCTAACTTTATTCATTACTTGATAAAACCTATCCAAATGAACCAGATCCCTCGTAAATCATGTTATGAAAAGTGTTTATTTCTAGAAATAATAGCGTTATTTGATATTAAAGGTGTAGAGAAAATGTCTGTACCCAGAAAACCTATACACTAAAGTCCTTATGGTCAGTTAGTAGTATATGTAGCTTAAAATTTATCTCTGCTAAGTAAATAGGGATGCAATAGTTGTTTATATTTCCGGTACAACTTAGATTTTTAGATATACACTTCTGGTATTTAAAACATTCTGCATGACCTTTACGACTCAGAATACTAAAATATATAGCCAGGAGAGGACTAATAGCTGCCTAAAGACCTTCCCTAGTTGAAAAGACTACTTGACAGGATTATTAGTGTTGCATCAATGTTGTTTTGTGACTTCATTATTTATATCATACTATTGTACCGATAACAATAAGTTTATAATTGCTCACCCATATTTTATGGAGTTGTTAGAAGTTTTCATTTGTTTATAACTAAAACTTAAACTTTTCTCTATTAACTACACAGTTAAATAATTACAAATCTACTATCCAGATGGAACTAATTAAACACAATATCTGAGTAATTTGCAAGGTTCCATAGTGGTCTAGCTCTAATTGACTCATGATTTCAACTATCGAAGTTACTGATTTTATCTAGTAACAGATTGTCTACAGTTTTAACACTCTTATTATAAACTTACCTTAATGTTTATAAAAACTGTCAACTGACAGATAACCAATTGTTGCATATTGGTTTTATATTCAATTATTATACCTAGATATTTTTTATAAGCAAGAGGTAAAGTTAATGAGTGACAGTTAATCTCCAAATGTTTTGTATCCCTAATTAATCCCTTTCCTAGTTCTCTCACCCAAAGGATTTTTTACAATGACTGAATCAATTCACTAAAAAATTCTATTGATAACTATCGAGAAAGGTCTTTGTAGAAATTGACGATACTACTTACTACTTTGTAAGTAGTTTATATCGTGTACAAAAATCGTTAGCATTTTATTAATACTGTCGGTTTATTAAAGATATCGAACAACCATCCCTTCCCTATTGACTATTATTCACTGTGTTTCTCATCTGTATTTATTAACGATCAACTTATAACCTGGAACTGATTAGATTATATTTCCTACACTTACCTAGTTAACTAAGTCGCGTCAATTTTGAAAACGAGTAGAATTTGTTTCTCAATTATTTGAGGCATTTATCGAGCAGCCCTTATGTTTTGCATCATGCTTGTCGACGCTAATTAGTAGCGATGAAACACAGATATTTTGCTACTGTATTTGTGAACTCGAAACTTTCATTGATCTATAAGATATTCTACAGACAATTATATGATGTAACTACGGCTCATTATTCGAAACTTGACACTCGACCAATAAACAATCAGTTTAAACTTTGTACTGGCAAGTAGTTCTGCAAAGTCGTTATCATTTTATTTATTCCAGGTTTGTGAAGTGGAATTTACATATCAGTATAACGTCTCATATCATCTGCTGAATTCGATCATATCAATTTGAGACTTAGAACTCTTATCAGATCATGAGGCAATTGAAACTAGACCACCATGGAAAACCTGGAAGCACTGGACGGGCGTTTCATCCTATTGTGGGACTCCTCAAAAGTGCTCATCCACGACCCTGCTTCGTGAGGTTCAAACCCAGTACCTATAAGTCTCTCACGCGAGCGCTTAACCATTAGACCACTGATCCAGCCGGCATCTAACGGTGGTAATGTCTAACTTCAACTAATCCACGAAATTGAGCAACACATCCACAATTGTCTTCAGTGTGTTACTATTGTTGATTATAAAAAGACAAAATGCCTTTTATAATTCATATTATTAATCATTGTTTATATACACTTTTTCTATTAACAATGAGTAGGCAGATGAATTTAAAATACAGAAAATGTGGTTTATACAGTTATCCTGAAATAATAATAATATTCCAGCAATGTTTATAAGAATGAAAAAGAAAAGAAACCACATACACATAATTTAATCATGCATAAAAATGAATAAATGAATGATAATGAAGTAAATGACCTTCTAGTTAGTTACTTTCCAGTGATTGGTCTCTTTCTTATTTCTCTTGATAGACAATGAAAATAGAAGTTTATATTCATATTTCAATATGGCCTATTTATCATTTGATCTTTTTAAAAAATTTATTCGTTGCAATTACATAAGTTTGTTTTCATAAACATATTAAAAAAGAAAATAGAAGAAATTGAACATCTTCTTGTATTCTAAATGCCTATACTTTAAGAATTCGATAAATGTAAAATAAAAATACATTGAACATAAAAATATAAAGTGTTGTTGAAGCAGTTAATAGTGTACTTGAATTACATCCATTTTTATTGTTACAATTACAATATCGAACTTTAACACGATATGTACCCAAACGATCTATACACCAACGACCATCTTCTGCACCAATCACACCAGTTACAGCACAATCTCTATAATAACGTCTAGTCCATTTTCCATCTAGATACACTGTATAAATAAATGGGTAGGAATTTTTATATGAACAACTGCAGTATTATTTAGATATTGATGAAGTGATGCTGAGCGAAGACTCAATATATTAAGTAAAAATTACAAATCGATTGATAAGGTAGTGAATATTTATCAACTGAGGTAGTTTAGACATGCTTTATGTGTCTCCAACCACGTTCTATTTCAATGTGTGATGTTTCCTGATGTGAGAATGGGTTTGAAAAATCAGAATCAACGCATGGCATCAGTCTATAAAATTACTGACTGTCGGGCTGAACTGTGTAAGCGAGTACAAACTAAGTAGTTGAGGTGCACTGGGTTATTTTGGCCCATTTCTTGAAAACAATGGGTTAAATGGCTCGAAATTGTTCTCAGTGGTGCACACTAACTCTGTTTTTTCTTCTCAACATACCCATACCTTTTATCTCCTAGTATCATTCTTTCCTCTAGAGTAATTTTTCCATACTTTATATTTCTACTATTGCTGATACTGTTAATACTTCTATCTCTCTCTGCCGATATGCTATTGGCGATTTTAATCAACGCATATATGTGCCAGGCTACCGGAGTGCTTTGAATCGATTCCTCACCAAATCTTGAAAGTTAGTAAAACAAAAGATAAATAGATACTTATATTGTCATTAAGGCACTGAGAGATATCTATGATGTAAAACTACATTTCCACACATCACAACCTGTAATTGATGCAAAGTTTATGGTTACGAATAAACAATTAATGTTAGTGATGCAATCCAGCGAATACTAGTGAAATAGCGAGTAAACTTCTAACATTGAAAATAAACTGTGATGTGTTATATACAAACATGATTTAATGACTCAATTTCCCAACAATACTACCCCGAGACAGAACATTGATTATATATAAGCTTCTTAGTTAACTAGTACCCTACTCGTAGTATTAAAGGCTTGAAAGTAATCGACCCTTGTTATGAAGTACTGACGAGTCAGATCACTTTTTTAAAACACCAGTGCTTCGAGCGTCCTCATTTATCAGGTATTTGATGACAGATAAACACACTAGGGTAGTTGTTATAGAGTTCGCAAATACTCATATTCATCAAAACATACGGGCGCTTGGTACTGGCTCATTAAACTACAAGGAAATCCTTCACTACAATGAAACTGATTATTTTCCCTAATAATTTATTGACTTTATTCAATATTATATTTTTGATACAATATAGAATTCTCAGCAGAAACGAACGACTGAGGATCTTTCTGGAGTGCACTCTTGCAACGCATCTATAAATTTAATGTTACGAAAATCAGTCTATCAAAAAGAACCATTTTAACTGAGTCTGTGGTACAGAGGAATAGTCATATAACTCAGTACAATATTTACATTTGTGTGCTGTGTAAATTTAATCTTATGCTATTGTAGAGTGTGCTTGTATATTAGGTCGTTAATTTTTTAAATGTTGAGTGTTACTTACTTCAAATCATTCATATTTGAATGAGGATCAATGCAAATAAACCATATTAAACTTTGTTTGTTCAAGTATAGTTTGGATCTGTTTTTGATGCATAATAAGCATTTACCTATGGTTTTCCCTTTCTTTCTTAGCATCAAAATATATCAGCGTTTTGTTTACTTATAAAAATATGAAGATGACTAGTCTATTGTTGGAACGAAAAATTGTACGTAGTTGCAAAAGCAATAGACAGACTAATGACAAGAGGATTGAAGTGATTTTAGTCATTTTATGAGATCCATCAATCTATCACCCCCATACCAGTTTTGTCCACTATCCTATGAATCATTTTATATTTGTGGCATCCAAATAATAATAAGTATACAGTAAATATATGTGGTTTCTGCCTCACTAGTGCACTATCCTTTATCCGTCTTTGATGTGAAATTTTTGTAAGAAACAAACTGTGTTCGGCACAAGAAACTCACAAGACCGTCACAAAAATGCCTAATATATGGAACCAAAGCCCATAAAAACACTAAACTGAGTCGGAGGGTATAAACTACACTCATAGCTGTCATTAACAGCGACGAATGCCTAACATTATATTGGTATTTGCAGTATGTTGACTAGTTTCTATTCAAAAGATGATATGGCTACCATAAACATAAGATCCAAGGCATATAAAAACTGTGGTACACGACCCAATAGGGTAGTGTTGTTTACATATCTATTTAATCGCTACACAATTATTATTGGCTCAACACGGTGAGCTTAAACGTCCACATGAATATTATGAACTCAATTAGTTGGTTTCTTTTATGCATTGTATGAGCTTACACCTCCGAAACAATTATTTTAGATATTTTATGTTGAAGGAAGCCGCGAATCTCTTAGTAGTAAAGAAACGTTTTCTAACATTTCATCGACTTGCTTCATAAATTCACATCCGAGTCAATGTTTTCCTAAGTAACTAACGTATATATCACGGAACTAATCGCAACAGTAACTAAAAAAGTGTAAGTGATCTATGAGTTCCCGTGAGACCAATGTCGTATATCTATGGCAAATATTGAGCTAAGCTGAACGCGATTACCGGAACCCCTCTCAAGCTTACCAATGGCTGAAACTTTTCATAGTCATAATCTCAGATTTTCAATTTTGAGTAACATTTAAAGTAAGAACAAAACCAATATGTTAGTGGAAATTCGATTGAAAAAGAGAGGTAATAATTATCCTATGCAAAATCAGTAATAAAACAAATCGTTCTGCTTAAACATGCCGTACTAGTGAATTACTACAAAGCTCATACAATGAACCTGAATTAAAGATTTTAAAGGCAAATAAGCCTTAATTGCTTGATGCATCAAACCAAGTTTTTTCCTAAAAATAGCCTAAAACTATCTGCTAATCGATTTGTTATTTGTTACAAATTCGAACCAGATGGGTAAATATAGTTGAACCAACATCCTTAGAATTAGCGTTGTTATAATAAAATTACTTTAATAGGGTTGATGCTGGTAACCATGTTATATTTTGAACACATATCAGAATAGTTTTGATATTCCAGGGAGCAATAGCAAATTAATATTAAGGCGACAAAAATGTACCAAAGAACTTATATACAATCCTGAATGCCGTGAGTCATTAACCCAAAACGTTATGCTTTAAGACATTATGAACAGTCAACTTTTGAGCGATAAAGGCAAATTTCGCAAAACATTGAGCAGGGTCGTTTAAAGCTAACTCAAGATTGTCAGTATTTTAGCTGAGTATTAGACACTGTTCGCAACAAATTATGATGTAGTTGGCTGTAAAAGAATGCAGTGCAAAACGAAAAAAATGGTCTAATAAACTGCTATGTTTGACGACACAGCTAATTATATACTTTTTCAAAGAAAATAAGTATGTGAAAACCCACTGAATTTTTTACAAATTTCACATCATAATTCGCTATTTTTATCATCATTGTGTACGAAAGACATATAATACCCTAGAAAATTACTGAAATTTCGACAAAATCACTACCAAATTTATTTGTTCGTAGAATCCCTTAAACTAGCACTTGATTTACGGAATACGAATTCAATTCGGGTGAACCAAGATGAAAGCAACCAAACTTGTGTACTCACTTTCCTGAATCATCTTGACACACCTAGAATAATTTCTTCCATCATTTGGACAGGCAACTAGTGGAAAAGTTCGATTATCAAAATAGTCTGCACAGTGAGGTTGTGTTAGTGAATTACATTGGTAACAACGCAGTTCTGGTCCAATACCTAATATTATGCATTAAATTAAGAAAACGATTAACGATGGACACCCCACCTACTTGGCATACACCTGCCGAAGTCATTATTACAACTAAAACCAATCGCAGCATCATTTCCGGCATTTGAATATGTGCCATTTACAATAAACTACACACGTAGCCTACTAAAACAAACGCCGTAAGACGCTCTTATAGGAACTCTAGTCTTTTAACCATCAAGTGATGTAGGTGTATGTAGAAAGTTAAGGTTAAAAGATTACTATTTTGTTGAATATAATTACACACGTCAGGATCAGATGACATTAATGCCAGGTTCTTTCATATGTTTACAGGGAATGCAACTGCGAAGATGTGAGACAATTTAATTTTATATCAATGTCAAAAATTCAGAACACTCAAATGTCTTTGTTAGCAATAAAAAGGATGGATTATTAATACTTTTCTTTTTGCGGTATCCTGCGTTATATCATGTACTCGGTTCGCAACCAAAAGAGAGAACTAGAATTACAGTTCTTTCTGCGCAGTTGCAAGTAACCACTTCCAGTGAGTCAGAAGCAGAAATCAATGAGTGGAAAGGAAATCACATAGGAGCAAATTGAGTGCCTGTTTGCATGCACTCTATGAACAATTTCACTACCATACATCAATTTATACTGGACATCGCGTACCATAAGCCGATACGGCTTCGTTTGAATGTATCGGCATAAGTAGATCCAGCCACCTGTTGATGCAAAGAAAGTCACTTGTTGGTCACTAGATAGGAGGGCTGGTAGTCAACCGACACAACATTCATTCTAAGCTTATCAACATTGCGGAATGTACTTGATGTGTGGGCGAGAATGATAATGATCGGTTGTCTGCTTGGTCGGACATGTAGATGGTCTGAAAGGTGTCGGATGAGCTATATATTCTCTTATCCTCATCATTATTACTACTCACTTATTATTGATTGTTAATTGTTGTTGGATTGTGTCGGGTTTTTGGTGTGGAAATATATTTACGTTATAGTCAGGCTATTCACGTGTTCTTGATCTGAGTTGTGTTGAAGTCCTGTAGGCCAGTGAAATGTCACTGAGCCCTAGCCAAATCATCCGGCAGTTGGATCACTGAATGTCGAACAGATCACCGCTTCCTGCCAAGTTCATGTACAACCAACGCGCATTAGTTAATCGTATGCCATGGACTGGCCCACGCAGCAGTGGTCTTACTTTCGCTTGTATCTACTTTAACTAATATATTTCTGTAATAACGTCCTTTGTGTTGTACAGTCTTCAAAGTATCTATAGTACCTTGATACGTCAATGGGGTAGTCCACGTTAGGTGCTGACCACGAGGTGTGACTTCAACGTTAGTTGGTTCGTCACACCATTCACGTCTAACTCGAGCAGGCCTCTAATCATTTCGACATAGATCATCTACGTTGGTGATCTACACTGGGAAAGAATCTAATGTAGGTAATCGTTTAAGGTAAATCAACGTCCCATACGTGGAAACGTGGAAACCCAACTGTTATAACATTAGACGAAGTAAAACCGAATGTTATAACAGTACTCATAACGTTTCTGTTCTGACGAGAAGAGATATTAATGTGTTAAAACACTATTCAACCGTTTGAAGATTGTAGCTAGGTCGCCTTGAGTACTATAATATGAAAAGTGGTACGGATTTGGTCTAACCAGACTTCTCCAATTGGCATCTTTGAGATCCTTGGAATCTAATCAGAAGGACCACTGTGAATTTAAAATATGTGGCGGCAGTCGAATTTCGTTGATTCTCAAACACATAACTTCCCATTCTTTCCGTAGTTAATTAATTTTCATCTCCTTTTTTACGATTATCGACTTGTGATCATCTGAATATTTATTTAGTTGGTCTTTATTAGTATTCATTTAGAGCCCCATGACAAGCCTATATGTGACAAGAAATTCGAAATATACCACATAATTTCAGATAAACGTCCCATTGTCTCATCAGGGTTTCATAGGAGACCCATACAAACAGTTTCAAGTGATCAAAACCAAAACTTCAGTGAAAATTAGATACCGTCCATTATCAAAAACCTTTTGTTACGACCCAGTATTATTTCTTCATAATTAAGGACTAGCTATTACTGAAAGATTAATTTATTGTATTCCGTATTTACTAGACAAGCTATCACTTCTCATTTCTGTCACCTTTATCTTAAGAGTCTAGAAACCATTAGACCTCAACAAAACCAAATTTCTATGTCTCATATTTGCAATCAATTTAAGACATTATGCTACTCTGTAATCTCAATTTGAGTTAATAATTTCGCCTTATCTGTACTATATTGGTAAGTAAATCCCTAAAATTAATAACTTTGTAAGTCTTCAACAGTCGATGCTGACCGCATTAGTTTTACTAGACTCACCAAACTGAAGGCTCTCGGTCACGAATTCGCACCACATCACGACTGGGTACGCCCTGCTAGGCATCTCTTTCAACTACTAGCCAGCTTAAACCAAAAGTTCCTTGACATACCAATAGCTCTCTAAATATATCTTCTTCCTGGTATACTTCGTAGACAAAGATTTTACTGATTGTCAAACTCCGAATACCTGTGGCATCTTTAGTACCTGTGTGATACTTTAAAAACACTTCATCCAATTTTATGAGTAATGAAATACTGGTCTGTTTAATTACAGGCTGATTTACACCAGTCAACTACAAATACGAATGTACAGATCCGGTGAATAATATAACTGAGAAGAATATTCCTTGTTAAACTACCTTTAGTCCATCTTTAATGATACGATGGGCTACTTCTGTTCCAAAGCTATCAGAACAACGACGCCAGAAATATTCAAAGTTCGACAGCTCTTTTACTATTAACACCTGCATAATCAAAGGATGCTAACCCGGTCAAATCAGAGGTCACCAGTGAAGGAGTTCAGAGATATATTCGGAGAGTAACTAATATGTCGAAAAGCGTTCGATCTGAGGCGATAAGTGGTTGCAGGAAATGAGCAGCATGGCCTACTCGTGATCAAGTGTCCATGTGTGATCGAGCGCTTTCAGCCTCAATCTTAAAGACCTACTGAACAACTTATATTAGACATTTATTCACCACAAAAAGTTGATGACATTTTCTTTCAAAAAATTGGATGCGATTACGTTAGTGTTGATACTGTGCATCCCGTTTTCTTGACCACGTGTAGATTAAGCAACTTTCACTAACATCCATTAAAACTGACTAAACTATGAAAACCTGGAATACCGTTAAAAATCAGTATAAATCTGCCTGGAAAATCACCCGAAATACTGGGTGAAATCACTGGAGAACTATTCTCTCAAAATACTCAAATATTTTTTCATCTTCGTACTCAGATGGTGGGAATATAAAGTGGCGGCTGTTTTGTCAATTGTGCTTCACACTGACTGACTATGATTGGCGTAAGCAATATTACTAATAGGACGGACCCAAACAGTCTCAAGTCGCGTGTTTTCGTTGGGAATCTTAATACAGTGCACATGACAAAAACAGAACTTGAATCTATTTTCTCGAAATATGGAGCAGTCGTGGGAATATCAGTACACAAAGGATATGCGTTCATTCAATACGCAAATGAGACTAATGCACGAGCCGCAGTTATTGGTGAAGATTCAAAAACCTATTACAATATGGTTTTAGGTAAGACATTTTTAAACTTGGTGTTTTCATTTTTACTGGTTTTCACCCCTATCTCGAATTTTCACTCCGCTGACAAGTTTTATTAGTAATAAACCCATCTCATTGCCTAATTTTTCTATCACAGATGTAACCATAGCATCCGAACCGAAAAACCGCAAGCGAGGGAGATCGAATATTGGTTCGTCGCTTCCATCCTGGTAATTTGCTTTCCCTATATAATAATCGAGTAATTCCTCTTTCTAGGAACCCCTTGACAAGGTATGACTCAGTTTTGTTGCTTCGTGAGTCTCTAGTTTCCTTCAAAACTTTATTTCCAGTTTTGCTTTGGATTCACTGTTATAGTTATTTATAATCAAACCTAATAGGGTATTTCTATTGGCTTCAGAATATCGAGTATATTTAAATATAATATCACTAAATAATCGTCTATGCAACTCGTCGTCGACACGTGGCTTTAGATATTGTGGTACCCACTTGTCGGCTTGTTAATTATGATCGTTTGTTGACAAAGTTAGAAACAATATCGGACGCTGCTACTGATGTAGAGTAATAAATACAAAGTTTCATTCAGAACCACACCCAGAACTTTACACAACTCGACAAGTTTTGAAAATCAACCACCAGGAAATATTTGTTTATACTAAACCATCACCCCCTTGACATGGAGGCAGGCTGTATAAAATAGGATGTAAACAGATGTATAAATTGAGTCCTCTACGTCATCAGCTCTTGATAATCCCTAAGTCGGAGTGCAAGGACTTTTTGAGTGAGTTCTGCAAGATAATTCTAACATACTGTTTCGCACTTCAACTAGTATCGATCTCAGTCTTTTACTGACTATTTACCAATAAAAACTAGCTCGGCGGATCTTGTAAGTCTGTCTCTAAACATTACCATACTTTTAATCGACTTCAATTGTTCATACGATGAGTTGGGGGGCAAACTGTTAGTCTATTTTGTGATTATTTTCAGGGTATGTCCATATTACCCTTCTAGGAATAATAGTAATAAAGACTTGGTTGCATGAATGAACACTTTTCTACGCTTCACTGAGGTGGCCATTCATTAACTATTGTTCATTAAAAACATTTATGCCATAGAAAAGGTGTTGAAACTTTCCAAGATTAATCGTAGAGTTTCCCACAATATATTCAAACTTCGTTTCGATTATATTTTCAGCACTAACCTTTCAGAACTTGCCTTACAAGCTCAAGCCCTTAGCAGTATAACTGGAAATTCGGTTCTATCACTACAGCAGTTTGGTTTAGAAGGTATTATGGGTCAGCCTAACCTCGTTAATTTTGCTGCTGCGGCGAATTCAGTGTTCCATACCCCCTCATTGTCTGCTTTGAACGTTTCTAGTGCCCAAACAGCAGTTACAGCGGGTAACATACGTAATAAATATACCAGATTATCGAATACCACAACAACCACGTCTTCAACAAATCCTAACTCTCTTGCTGCCAAACGTACTCGTTTGGATGGAATGTTAGGTAATACTGGTAATCATAATTTTAGCTCGAACTCGTCTTTACCTGCTGGGGCTAGAGGACAGAATTTAGTGTCACTTGTTTCTGCAACGGATAGCCTCATACCTCCAGCAAATCGTCGCCAGTCATCAAACTCTGGTCCTGTTCGTTCTGTGTCCGATCAATCAACCAGCAACTCTTTAGTGCGTAATCGAATTATGACGTCTACTTCCTCTCGCACAACAAACTCATCCACAACCAGTTCAAATCAAAATTCACAACCCGTGGAAAAAAATTCCGACGTACATCTAAATCGCACACAAAATCTAGTCCATTCCTTCGAATCTGACCGTCCTACTGTTCAACAGCCCAATCGTACAGCCTCATCGACAAAAAGTAGTAGTCCTCATTCAAGTAAGTTCAATTAATTGTCTATTTCCGATCATCCCAAATTATTGCATACAACTTTGTAACCATTATCAAATGAAAATTAGATCAGGCTATAAGCTGTTGATAATCTTACTGCTCGATCAGCTATTTAAAAATTAAACGATTTTCAACTATAATTTTAGTATCAATATTACTTTGTCCTTGTTTGTAGACCGTTTATTGTTGAAGAAATTTCGAGAACTGAGAACATTGGTCTACTTTTTGATGGGGACATATTCCTATATGTAGGAGAAATAAATGGACGTCAAACATTCTCCCCATTTATCAGTCGTTTCATTACTTACGTATCCCTGTTACCCCTCGTCGAGGAGCATAGGCCGCCCACTAGCACTCTCCTTACATCACATAAATACATTTTCATGTTGTCGTTCAGATAATCTCTGGAAGTGCAAAATAAATTTAGTAATTTGACAGAAAAGTATTAGGGATCTCTAGTCACATCCTTTACTATAGTAACAAGGTGTAAAAATCATTTGATAATTATTGCTTGTTGTTGTTGATAGAAACTCCAAAGTTAAGCTTATGGCATGACATATATTCCAAGTCCTGTTTTCTTTTGCAACGTATATCGCTAACCAAAATCTTGTCCATACATGCAACCGCTAAATGAGCCATCTGTTTCATGCAATTCCTTTTAATCAGTACATATTCTAGATGAAGTCTACGTTGACTGGATAACAAAATTCAAACCACCAATATACAATCGTCACATCGTTCCTTTTCGTAGTCACATAATAATAAGTCGAAGAATTGATTTTCCGAAAAAGCTGCAGTTTCCAGCTTAATGTAGTTTACGAAGTATGAATGCCAAAAGTCTAGTTATGAAGTAACCATGACTCGCTCTAGACTGAAATAAAAATTATCAGGTAATTAAATAAGGATATAATTGGATATTTTTGTCACTTGATATATTTAAGCAGATTAAAATTTCTGATCATGGAAACAATTATCTTTGTGAATCTTTTTAAATACAATGTTTTCCAAATCTCTCTGTCCGTGTTATTTGAAGATACATATAAACCTCTATTTCTTGTGAATTATCTATACATGGATTCAAAACTTTTAAGACTGCTAGTTGTATATGCTCACTAACAAACTTATATTCTGTCGTTTGCGTATTCTTATTCTAGGTGTCCATTCACATTCAGAGGATATTCTGATATGTGGACGTTGTCGTCGTTTATTCGAACAAGTTGATGAACTTATTTCACATAAAATGGCTGGTTGCAGTTTGGATAAAGATAGCGGAGCTAGTTGTCGTTGTCGAGCCGGTAAGTGTAAAATAAGACTACGTTCAGTCTGTCATCCGTGAACTTAGATGTCCCGTATAGTTTTCACTAGCCATGATTTACGATGAAGTTGAATGAGAATAGTTATCTGTCTTCATGTTAATCTTCTATGCATTTTTGTTTGTTTGGCCATGATGACAATAAATCAGCAATTCCTTAAATTACTTTGAATGTATTTTATAAGTATTCTGTTTACGACGTTAATTACTTCTCTCCTTTCCTAGTCAGCCTTTTTATTGGCCTATACAAATCAAAGCTATATATAGTCAAACTCTAATGTCTATATTTTATCTGTAACTAATTGAATTTTTCTTCATACGTTAAAGCTAGAAAATATCAACTTCTAATAGGCTTTGAGGCCAGTTGTCACTGATCAGTCCATATCCATATTGAACCGTCATCATTCGGACACGATCTAACAATATGTTGTTATCAAGAAGAATTGGGCAAGACGACAAGGTTTGTTGTTGTTAAAGCTAATGTATAAAACACCAATCGATGTGTGATCTACAGTAATACGAAGTAACCGAGTGATGGCTGCTCGTGTAACCGAATTATTGACTTAAGCTTCTAATTGAACTAACATCAGATGGTAAGACAGCTGTCCAGCATAATAGATTCTGCTTCAAATAAATTAACGTGCTCATTTACAACATGAAGAACACAAGAATACACATGATCGAAGGTTAGTAGACGAATAAATGATTGGGAGGAATAGAAGCCATAGGTCATTCACTCTTCAGTGGAATTAATGCTTGGCAGACCCAATTCTCTCCCTGTTAAATCAATGTAGTGACTAGTAACATTTATATCTACTCAGTTTAGTACTTTTGTCGGTATCTTTAAAACACAATAACAAATAAACCCTTCGGAATAGATTTTTCTTATATTTATTTACTTTATAATTACAGTCATATGAAGAGCTTATATTTAATACCAGTAAATGTCAATATTTCTTGTTAATATAATCATTCGGTTAAACTTCACTCAAGCCAAAACCAATTATGAATTCCTGAGAAAATTTATTACTTTTTTGTTTTAATTCAGGTTGAAAAGAGTTTCTTTAATGAATGTGACCGTATTTCTCTTTTTTTTTAGTTGGTGAACCAGAGAATTTAGAATGTGCATATTGTGGTGCCAACTTTTCAACTGCTTGGGGACTGATGCATCACTGTCATAGTGATCATTTTTTGACTATATATGCCCTTCCATCACCTCCTCCATCTCCTTCTGCATCATCCAATTCTCCGTCTTCTGAACTTTCTTCAATAGTTTCTCGCCGATCTAACAATGAAGGGGAGAATTTGTCTGAAAAATCTATGAGATCAAATTCTCATTCAGATAGATCAAATCATACAGGTAAGCACGCTACATCACTTGTGAGGCAAAACATAAAACCTGAGCATCCTACATTCGATAACCACCATTCTTCCAGTTCACATAGTATTGAAGAAAATCGTGAAAATAGCGACTGGGATGCGGAGGAGGAGGATGAGAATAACGACCGCAGCGGAGGTAATACTCCAACACTGGAATCAGTGCATAATGGAAAATTTAGCTCACCGGACATCCCGAGAGATCACTCATGTGATCAGTCAGATACAAGATCTACATCTGGTGCTTCAGATTCAGAAATATCAAATGAAATTCGTAGCAAGCGGTTACTGAAATCAAGATCTCCACCCTGTCCTCGAAGAAGTCGTGGTAGTGAATATGGCCGTCATGAGACTGTAGATGACGATGACTATGCTGATGACGATTCAGAGCCTGGTAATATAAAAACTGAATAATTACTCAGGTATGTTGTGTCATACTTTTCACTAATAGTTCAATCGTTGTATTTTCGTTCACATTGTTAATGAATACATTTCCAGTTCCTTAAAAATAACTATGTAAATTAACTTAAGTGACTAAAGCTGGAAAAGAGCCGGTACACAGAAAAGCATTCTTTCTGACTTATTTCATAGTTTTTGTACAACAAATAGGCAAAACAGTAAGTTTTAGAAATATCCATTTAAAATCAAAATTTTATTACATAGTTGAGATCCACTCATATTTTATGGAATAGACGATAATTTCCTACTCTAAACTCTCTCAGACCAATGATTGACAATATCAGGTTTATGCTAGCTTAATTTCCTTAGCTACCTATTCTCTTGAAATACAATTAATTGTGTAATAAAATCGAAAACAACAAAATTAACTATACTCACTTTTTATAAAGACTAAGTTAATAATACTACCGTTCAGCAATTTAATAGTTCAAGGTAAATACCAAAATAATTTTTGGTGTGATCACAACCAAACTGCTGTTGATAACAAGACTTAAAAATCTAACCAATTACTTATTATCTTAAGTTGTCTACATATATGTTCCCAAAGTTGGTGGTTGATATGGACATTTCTATTTGGCTTGACTGCTAATTTCAACCATTGTTTAAAGTCAACATTGAATAATTATGAAAGAAGCCTATTATAGTTTATCGGTAGTTTTATTATCGAAATGTACATCATGATACATAAGTTAGTTTAGTCATATTCTTATCGGTTATAGTGATGATTTTTAAATATTAATGTTAACAATAACGTGGCCAACCCTAACAGGGCAAAAACAGAGCGGGTTGTTTCACATCCGTACCAAAATTTTGTAAGCCACTGGCTGAACACATCTGCTGAGACTTAGAGTATAAGTTAAGTGAGCAACACACCTGACTACTACACACTTATAGGCATTAACACAACCTTACCTTGAGATAGTATTTTGCTTGTTGTGGTAAAGAAAATACACCTGAACGTTCTTTGATCATTTATGAAAGGCTATGCATTTTTTATCCCTTTCACCGAACAGCACTACGTCATCTGCATACTATAAATTGGTAAGTCTCTGTGATAAAAACAAAAATGATCAAACTGAATTGCTCAGACAAAAATCTCTCGACTTAGTTCATCTAAATAACAGTTTGCTATAAATTCTGACTCCAACGATATTATCCGAGTAATGAACCTTCAAGAGGCCGATATTTATTTATTCATCTGAACACATAAACATTGGTACAACGGGGCACCAAGTACATATGCGCAACACAATAACAATGAGGTTATGAAGAGATAGAAAATGTAAAGTACATATAATAAGAAGAACAATGAACATAAATTAGTGTATGAGAGTGAAATAATAATAATAATAGAAACAGTTCAGTTGGCAAAAGTACAACCAGAAAGAATTCTTTCAGTTAAAGAAGCTACGTTTGCTATATTGATGAAAGTAAAAGAAAGTTACAGCAGCATCACCACTGGCTGGCCTCTATTTTGAACCATGTCTGATAACGTCTCTACCCAGTGTTGCACCATCTCTAGGACCCAACCAGGGATTCGTGAAGGACCAACAGAAGCCAGTTCTGTGTGACTTTCATACCACGACACCATGTCATACACTAACCACCTCCTCGCTTTTTCCAACCAGTCCCGAAATCGTCAGATAATGCACGACAAGGAATTCTCTGGGACGGCATTCGTAGAAAATGTCCGAGCCACCGAAATCAATGTTTCAAGATATTGACACCAATTGAATTACCGTCTCTGCACCCAAACCTCTACATTACTGACATGGTGTTGCCACTGGGTGTCAGTAATCCTTCGGAGACAACGACGATAAAACACAGATAGTCGTCTAACATCCTCAACTCGGAAGGGCCAGGTTTCACAAGCATAGAGCAAAACTGCTCTCATCGACGCGTTGTAGATCCGACCTTTTACAGCCAGACTGACATCACGAAGGCGCCAAAGATGGTGCAGATTGGCATAAGCCGCTCTGGCTCTCACTATACGTGCACTGATCTCATCACTCACTCCACCACCAGCACTTATGCAGCTACCTAGATACACGAACCTCTCGACTATTTCTATCTTCTCACTATCCAGGATGAGTACAGGATTAGAGTCCTGCAAGTCCTGTAGAAGTACTTTGCACTTCGAAGGTGCAAAGCACATACCATACCTACGGACACTGACTGCCAACTGACTGGGTGCGGATCGCATGTCTTGGCTATCATCACACAGACAATAGCATCCTCATATTCAAAGTCGAGAAGTCCTTCTTCCGGCAACAGATCCATACCATCATCACCTACATCCATTGGATCTATTTCCAAAACGTCATCGATGACAATGTTGGAGAGGAATGATGAGATTGGGCAACTCTGTCTAGCCTTACCGCTTGAATGGGACAGTGGGGGGTGGTTGTATGCCCACACTCCCTGAGGTGTTGATATATAGGGCTTTTAATATGCTAGTAAACTTTTCAGGCACACTCTTGTCCTGTCCAACGAATGTCAAGAAACACTACGGTTTTCGGCCTGTGATAAGTATGACGGTTTTCTAACATTTGGAGGAGGGTGAAGATATGATCAATACATCTTCGACCAACCTGTCCGTGAGTCAAGCTTTCTCAGATTCTGTTATAATTTCTCTTATCAAAGCCCAGCTTTTCCTAGTGCTTAGTATTCTTGGACAGCAATTCACTCGACAAGTTTCCAAATCAGAACACGGTTGAACATGGACGAAATTATATTCCAAATAACAAGGGTAGATGGAAGTAGGAATTACAATAAGAAAAACACTAGTATATTTATGGTTTTTACACAAGAAGATTCTCGAGTCTTTTCCAAGTATCCACTGGCGCTGACTGGATAAGGAATAGCAAGTCAGTGCGCCCCAACATAATGCTGCACAGAACATGCTTTTATCTAATCTTTATTCCGCTAACAGGTTTTGAACAATCTACGAAGTATGACGGAAGCCAATATTTTGGACGTGATTGGAAGTAGACTTACCTCCGATAGTTGTTGCGGAAACGATGCGAACCCTTTTCAAAGATAGAAACAACTATCGACTCATTCCATGATGTTGGAACACTAATTGCCAGACCTTTGTAAACAACTCAGTCAGTTCCTCAACCAGAAAATCGTCACCATCTTTAAAAAGGGCCAGAGGTAAGTCTTTTGGGCCTGGCGATTTGTGTTGCTTCAAAAGTTGGATTTCCTTGCGGACTTACACCTCGTTAGGTGGATCAGCCGTCACAGGTCATGGAGAGTAGGACCGTCTGATCGATGTTGCCGGGGCAGAGGACCAGTGAATCTGCTACACGAAAAACTTTGCCCGTCGTCCAAGACGTCGATAGATATTAGTGATTGGCATACCGTCACCTTCACAGATTGTTTCACTCACACCAGACTTCTTACTGCCATTGGCTCGGATGACTTGAACGAGCTTCCGGCAGTTACCAAATGCAGCTGCTGCTTCCGACTCATTGGCACTCTCCGACCATCAAGCTTCTCAGTCCTTCCGCAAGTTTTGCCAAGTCTCATTACGTAACAGTCATCGTCTGTGGTCGAACTCATAATCACCCGAAGTAGACCGACACGCTCCAATGAGTTGTAAGGGGCCTGAAAAAACCTGGTGCTTATAAGCGGGACGCTTCGCGAAGTCGCAAGCGACTTTACTCGCCATTTTCATGGCGTCGTGCAATTGCAACCGATGCTCATCTATACTTTTCGGTGGGATGGTAGCTAGCCTTGAACCTAGCTCGGTTTGATATTTAGTTGCAGCAGAAGCTGCAACCAATTTACTAAATTAGATCCGTTTAGGACGATGAATTTGTTGGTCACTGAAAGTAAGGTAAGATTAGCGCAAACAAGGGCATGATCAGAGTCCAGATAGGTACTACAAAAGGAGTAGCAGTCTTGTACATAACCACGCCAGTGGTAGCTGATCGCGATGTGATCAGTCTGAGTCCAGGCTTGAGATGCAGAGGGAAGAAGCCAGGTGTCACACCGGTTATGACTGCTGGTAGTTACTGCTAGTCAGAAACAGGTTGTGGTCTGCGCGCAGTTGCAGTAGACTGACCCCCGTTATCTAACGTGCGATCAACCAATCCCCACCGACCACCTAAACGACTCTCTTCTGTGCCTAGACGCCCGACTTGAGCATTCGAATCTCTGGCTAGTACTACAATATCTGTCGAATGCACTTTCTGGAGAAAAACAGTTAACTGGTAGTAAAACTCATCCTTGATTTCATCCGGGCTGTAGTCTGTTGAAGCGTGACGGAGATGACGAAAAGACATCGTTTCTCACACCAATTTTTTCATGCTTCGATGGTGCTTTCTAATCTAACAACACATAACCGACTGTTAATGGGGATCCAATCGATCAGTGTTGCCTTAGCTCTGGAGCTTATTGCGACATTGACGCCAGAAAAACCAGACGAATATGCTACAGAATCCGCGGATAAACGCACGCAAAGCAAACTTTCCGAAGCGACATATGAAGATCGAATTTGTAGTACCTCACTAGAGTCTTGAATACCGGTCTCGGAGAGACAACAGACATCAGTGTTGAAACTTTCTAAAGACATAGCCAACCCTATCTGTTGTTGATACAGCTTCATGTTGTCTTTTGATCACGAACGCTGCCAATAAATCGGTCTAATCCTGTCAGCACTTCGAAGACTAGGGTTGTAGTCAAATATGCCTGGTTTCTTTATATTCACTGTGTATAAACTTCAACTAAACTTCGGATAATTATGGAAGCTAATATTTTAGGAGCCATATTATTCACATTAACCCCTGGTTGGTTACCATAAGGCGTTTTTATCGTTCCTTATGAGAGAAAACGACTAGTCATAACATCCAGTTAAATGGAATTACGTTCGGTTTCGAAGCTTCGCTTAACACCTCATTGAAAATTCCTGGAGCACCATCTTTGAAGACCTTAAATTAACATATAGACTCCTGTCGCTCTGCTTCACCTCAATCCAGCTATCGATTTCTCTATTTCACTAACAATCAGCAACTTATCGTCATCTTCCCTTTCCGAATAATGTTGGTGGGCAGAATGTGTGTAATATAAATTCATAGAATGCTTCTATCCATTAATAATAATCCAGCTAAACAATAAATCACTACTTCTGTCTAGGTAATTTAATTAACAAATATCGAATAACCTCATCACTTTGTTTTATACAATTTTTCCATCAGATATGTAGAATCTAAAGATCGTTGTAATTTTAACTCTGTATCCTTATCTATTTAACAGTTGACTAACAACTTGTATATTGAAATAACTACAAAATCATTATTTAGTTTTATCTTCCTTAAACTCTTTGTAATTTTTTAACTTCTGCATTTATTATCCTGTATTTCTTTTCCAAAACATAAAAGCTGAGATGTGAGATTATTTTGCTTTTTATTTTATCCATCTCGTTATTCATCAGTAGATTGTTGTAATTAAAATAAGTCGTACGTGTATGCTTTGATCTTTATGACTGGCAATCACTGAGCGTCCTGTTGCAACACAATGTGTTAAATGTGAAACTGAATTCAGACATTTTTCGGTAAATTCACCATTAAACTCTTATCATTCTAGTGAATAGCACTTATTACTACTTCTATGAATCCGGTGTTCATCTTGCTGTGTTAATGAGGTATGGTAACTTGGACCGATGCATATATATGTCTGGTCTTACGTTGTAGCTGACTGACTGTACATAACATTGAATATTTAACATGATCACAATTTAACCATCAGCTTCAGTGTATAGACTTAATGTTACATATACTAAAACAACAACCTGTATTTCACGAGTATGTTAAGGAAAAGATAATTTAAAAATGGTTAATGACTCCTTGCAAAATAAATTACCGAAAATTGTTTAACGCTTAGTTTTATTAAATCTAATCAATGCTTTTATCCAGGATAACTTAACTTAGCCGTATTATTTGGCACTGCAAGGATATTTGTACTCTAGTCCTCTTACATATGATAGAAGGAGTTCACATTAGTTGCGTTACTTATTACTAGACTCCTACTGTGCGACCAAATATCATAGACTTAATTAGTCATGTAACCTGTAGACAAGATCTTAACTTCTCTATTACTGCATGGTGCATCTTTACACTTGACGGCGATAGTGCTTCTGCTAGCCCCATCGTAAAGAAAATACACTGTACTTATGGAAAACAAGTTAATTCCTTTAATATTAATATTTCTCCAAGGGATTTCAATACAACAAATAACTGGTTCATTGACTAGCTGTTGATTTTTTTAAATTTTTTCATTCATAATTTAAATGATAAAGGCAGAATTAGAAGACCTTCACTATTCACATTACAGATTCTACATAATCCTAGCCATAAAGTCTGATTTTTAGTTTGTACGTTATTACAGTATACCAGAACTAAAAATTCACTTGGTATAAACGCTAACCTAAATTCCTTTTCAAACTAATAAGATAGAAGTATTCTCTTCAGTCAAGTTGGTGATAGTGACTTTGAATAGTTTGAAATTTCTAACCACCCTGTTCTCTACTTCAGACAATATTTTTAGTTCAAATACAAATACAAAAATTCGAACTTGTAAATTACATTCAGTTGTACAATGATCATTATCAGTTAGTTCTTTTTGTTTTTCTGATTTACTATTTTTTCCACATGTTCTACCATCGCTATGTTATTCACTACTTTTATTATTAATATTTATTTTTCATTGTTATCATACCGTAACTATAATCCTACTTTGTCACTAAGTTAGAATTCAACTTTAACTGACTGTCTTGTAGAGCGATATACGGTCTAATTTCTCACTTCATACCTCTTATTCTGATTCTATGTTTTAATTATTTTTCCTCACCTACTGTGTACTGTTAACAAGTAACTGGTATTAAATCTGAAGTCTTCCCATTACTCTGTAGTATACACACATGTATATCGTTCTAACTTTAAAACCTTGATAAACTTTCTACAATCATACAACAATTTTCGAGGGCATTTTTTGTTGACTTTGTGAAAACAGCCGCTTTACAATGCTCCAATATCTTCTAAAGAGAAATCACTTTGCACTAAATCTCATCAATAGAAGTAACTGGGAACTGAATGAGTTTTTGTTTATCGAAAATCTTTTGATATAATTATAAGTATGCACGTTAGTACTTTGTAAGCTTTGCCTAATGTTTAAAAAGTTCATGTAACTGAGTAATTATTGTTTCATTTATTTAAACATTTACTTTTTTGTTATTCATCTACTTAACTAATATTCTTTTCATAATTCCTGTTTTTAAATATACAATAAAATTGTATATTCATTATTGTTTGAATACATATTTCAACGTTCTATTTTCATGGCAATGTTGTCCTTCCTCAGTAATATCATAAGATGATATCGCCAAATATTGAACATACGAATGGCAATATCTCATCTACCTCTATGTTTTGTTAGTAAATTTCTAGATTCAATCTTTTTTTTTCTAGTTCAATATAAAATGAAGTGTACATCAGCTAATATCAAGATTATTTTGATTTTCCGCACACTTTTACACCAGATTCCATCTTGATTTTGACTGAACTGATTAACTATATGTTATAATGATAAATATGTCAGTAAAATACATCAATGTGAATTATTATGGTTATTACTTTATAAGTTTCTTGTCTTGTTTCCTATGAAGAAAGAATTCAACCATTCACCGTCTTTCTTTTTGAACAAAATCAATTTAATATTTTGCTCTTTTTTAGACCAATGCTACCACCACAACAGCAACAATCATATTTCAAGTTTGGTTCTACATTTATTCAATTTTCATTCATTCATTTAAGAAGTAATTATAATTGTTTACTCGTATATGTGCACTCGTGTTATGCACCATCAATACTAGTGTTGATGTATGAAAACCATCTTCAGCTGTGTGAATTGTCTTATTCATCTATTCATTTGTCTGTCTACCGACCACTTGTCTTCATCATTTATTAATGAATAACAAATTTATGAAGAAAAAAAGATAATTCTTCGAAGCATTCGAATAGCCTACCGTCTATTGACTCTTCACATTGTATTATGACATTTATGTTTCATTTGTTTGTCTTACATTATATTCACTGTCATACTGTCTATTATTATTAGTTTCCAATGGTGTCAAACATCATTGTCAATTTTATGTCACAACTAAATTATATTGATAAGTATCTATGAAAATGATCTATTTACATTACATACACATGTAAGTGTTTCTTCTATCCTATATATGTGCTTATCTTCTTCATTGTTTCATTATCTTATAATGTTGCATACAAAATTGAAAAAAATAAAATAAATTTTTATTCTTTACTACACATTTTTGTTGTTTGTTATTTTGTTTTGTTTCTCGTAATGTTTTTTTCGGATTACTATTTGTCTATGTGGGATCTAATTCATCTTGATTTGAGAGGACTATGTGACTACCGTATGTATTATCTACATTTTTTTGTAAATTACCTAGTTTTATTTTCTGTCGGCATTGTAATGTAATCCGATAATGTCACTCTGTGTGTTCAGTCGGTTTATAATGATACGCTAGTCGCGCGACACATTTTCTTGTAGTTGGTTTTTGATACATAGGCCATTTCCACAATAGTCAATAAATTAGTGGATTTCATCTTTATGGATAACTTGTTTTTCTTTTCAAATCTGAAAGTTCATGGGTTTTCATATTTTTACTCCCCGTATACTCATGTGTTTTTATGGAGCGTTGTGTTATACTTTTCTAAATTTTGTATATAATAGTTTTTTAAAAATGGTTAAGCCATTTATTCATTTTTCTGAGCGGTGTTTATGTCCTCATATCTTCGAATATTTCATCAGAAATTATCTGAAGTATTATCGATTATCAACTTGTTAACAAAGAAAAGATAATATATGCAATGATTTTCAAACTGTACAGGACACTTTCGAATATTTTCAAAACTCCATTACTATCAATCTTAAAATGCTAAAAATGCCATTCATCCTAGGTTTTTATATACTTGTAGTGTATAGTGGTTTTTGTTACATATTCTTGTTTATATACCTTATCTCAAAAGTTGAAAGTTAATATTTTTCCAGTATAGTCGCTTGTTTGTCGTAATTCGGAGGATGTATCTTGTTCGTGTTCATACCATTTTGTTCATATAATAATAATAATAATAATATGTCTATGAGTTATAACTACCCGGTTACATTTTTTTAATTTTTAGTCTTATGTTTACCTTTATTATATTCTCTTAATTGTTTTCTTTGAAGGGAATCCTTCATCTCTCTAAATTTACCAGTAGGCTTATTTTTTTTATAAGTTTAGCTGACAAAATGCATATTTCGTTTCTTGTGACACTGCATTAAAAAAAGAAGCAGTAGTGAGTTTTATAATCTCAACACGTTTAAGATAACATTGCCTCAGCATAATAAATTTCCAACGTTTACAAGTAAATATAATGTCTAATTTGTATATAATTAATAATACATTATATTGTCAAGAGTGATTACTTTGTTTTACGGAAATGAAAATACAATTCATCAAAAAAGGCAATCCACCTTTGAAGTACTTTTTCAAATTTTCTATGTTTCATAACTGATAGATACTTATCGTAACTTCACTTTCCAATAATTATTGAGAATACTACAAAAAAGGGTCAATGAATGATTCACCCCTATGTTGAACAGTTTACATTAGACAGGTCGTCCTTTGGCGAACTCCACCGTATATTTGTAATATCATGGATTTTGTCATTCTCCACTGTGGTTTTTATCGATTCACTATAAAACACAAGCATCCACTAATTTTCTGTTATTTGAAGCAATCCTTTCTCCTGTTTTTTTTCTTTTAAGTTATTAAGACTTGAAATTGTGACTACTATGACGATTGAAAATCTTTTAAATAAGCAGAGAAAACAGATAAGATACATTAAACCCTACTTAACCTACTTATCGATAACAGTATCATTTTAATAATATTTGGGAAGTACGTCAGGAAATAGATTTTAACTGCATTTATTCATCTCACAAACTTTGAATTCTTACGGTTTTTATATGTATCTTTTTCTATCCAACTCTCCATCTACCCATTCTAGTATTTTTTTTCACTTTTATGAAACTCAAGTACAACAAATGCTGTTTGAGTTTGTCATCAAAATGTTGCATTGTTCACCTCTAGGTATTTATATTTTCCATTTAATTGAAATGCTTAACATTATTTCCTATTCAGTGTAGACAGTGTCAGTTGTTAATAAATTAAATCCAACAACACATGATGGAATGAAATGAATGTCTTTATTTTCCCATAATTAATTTCTTGTATAAAGATAGGAAATTTAAATGCACATTTTGTCTAGTTAAGTAATATATGTTTGTGTCAACATAGGTGAATCCATTTAAGGACCCCACTAAAACCGATATTCTAACTATTTCCCTGATCGTTTCGTGGTAAGCATTTATCAACTAGTTGGCGGATAATACTCATTGTTGAATCAGTCTTTCTGTCTTTGCTTTTGAATGAATTTGTATCCCTAACTGCAAGTCCTATGATCGGTTACTGAGTGGATAAGCTAGGGTGAACCAAGTATTCAGTGCTTCCAGTAGTTGTTTGACGAAAGTCAGTCCGTGATGTAAAACTTCAAATTCAACAATCTCCTCAATACCCTACAATACAGTTTGAATACAAGTATACTAGATAGCCCCTTATAAGAAGAAATGCTTAGTTACCACTGGTCTTATATTGCTCGTGGAAATTATATTTTCTGTACCCAACTTAAAAGTCCTTTTATTTATTTATATTTATCATTTATTTAAGCACATAAACATTGGTACAAGGGGCACCACAATTCATTCGATTTGTGTGAGGGCTGGTCCTAGTTTTTCGCCTCTAGACCCTACTGTGGTTATGATACCGCTAAGACTACTTTTTCCAGTTCCAATCAATTTGTACAGCCCTCACACAATATCATCAACGGTGATTGATTTTTTCACTGAAACTACATTAGCTACTAGGTTATCACAGAAGTCCACTCTAGTTTAGGTTCTATTCAACATAAGATTATTAAGTGTCGTATGAGTAGTGGGTATTACTGGTGTGGAGTCCCGAACTCGACAAATGCTCCGTTTTTCAATGATTTTCTAGCTTTAGATTAAAGCACTTCACAATCAAAAAGTAATTAGTGTCATTCATGATTAGCTTGTTACAAAATAACCTTATTTTTCTTAGAATTTTCAAACGAATCTCAGTAAACTTACTGAAATGTCTATGCTAAAACATGTAGATATTCTGTGTATTTCTCGGCAATTGAAATTAGTTATGTGAACAGTGTGATCAGCCATTTATATTGAGAAAAAGCCAGTTAGTTTTTAAGGAAATCTGTAATTAATTTAGCTTAAATGTCCTGTTTTTCAGTAGTTAAATGGTAGGAACTGCAGAAAAAGCATCTCGGACATTGATCTCCTCGAATTACTTGGCTGCAAATGAGCAGAATGATAAATTGAAATTGTTGAATCTCATCTTCGCTAAACTAATAGTAATTTTTCCAACGTTATAGCTAATTTTGAGTACTGTCCTCGTACTTTTCAACGTTTATATTCAGATAGTGACATTAGTCATGTGTAATACAACCTCGAAAAAGTTAGAACAGGACAGGGAAATAATTCTCCATAACCTGAATTTCATTTGTAAAACTGTCGTATTCGTTTGTTCTAGTTCCGAGCATCAAACGATCTCTATACAAGTTACTGGTTAGTACTGTGAACTTTGAGTCCGACGACAACTGCATCCAGATTTCCTAATCCAGCTATTTCTGTATTAATTGTGTCTGTTTTCTGCTCTTTGATTTACTGATAACCTTTATTAAGTTTCACTATTCTGAGGTGAACCTTTGTGCTGTCCCATTCTGACCCGACAGTTTTCGTCATGCAACTCCTCATGAATATGATTACTTTATTAATTTTACGTCTAGTTATGTTGAATAAATTGGCAATGAAGGCTTTCGCCCACGAACACCTCTTCAGGTTTGCTCTGGTATCCAAACTCCTAGTTATGATTTGCATTCTAACCCTTCTTGTTATAGTTCTCCATAAGTTCACAACCATTCATTTTTAGATCTACGACTTTATATGTTGTCTGGTTGATCTATGGTTCGTAGTGTCTGGAGTTTATAGCCTCTCTAGTCAATTTGATGTCAGCATATAAAATAATAAGGATTCTTAATCGTGAAACTAATATGTGGAAATACGGTGTTTTTGTTTCACGGTTTCATTATCTATCATGACGCTTATTAAAATTGATCCCCACAAACATTGAATTTTTTATTCTGAAAATATACATGGCAGCAATTGTATAAACCTTTCGGAATCCCTTACTCAAAATGGTTTCAATTGTTTTCGGGTTGAGATTTTATCGAGACATGAGAGTAAGATGTTTCGTCTCTGAAATAATGAATCTAACAAACAACCTACTCAGAAAACATTAAAGTAGTATTTTTGTAGGCAAGTGTTTTACATGTATCGATGTTACTCGGGATTTTATTTTAAAAGTTACGACCTGACATTGTGGCACAACCATGACGTTGTAAGCTACTTAGTAAACAAAAACCATATAATTTGAGATGTTTGACAGATTCTGTATACAACACAGCAGACATCCCTGAAGTTTGTGTAACAATTAGGATGAAAAAAAACCCGCCACAACGGTCAAGTATTTGTGCAAACTGCCTATGCAGTATATCTCCTAAGATTTAGGTATTTCATTTGGAGTTTTACTAAACCAGTCATTCCGTTCATATCCTACCTTCTGAAGCTTATTGTGACGTATACTCAAATAATCTGAGGTCACTTCCGCGAACAAAAAATAAACTAGTACGGAAGAGCATTATTTATTTATTTTGACACATAGATTCTGGTACAAGGAGGCACCAAATACATATGCGCCACACAAATCTCACTTGATATGTGTGAAGGCTGTGATACTGCCCTGGTGCCCAAACCGAAGCAGGGATAATACTCACCGCTATCCGACAGATGGTCAGTACACTTAATCTGCATACCTCAGTCCAAACCCTGACCATTGAGTGTGACTGTTAGAGTTCCAGCAAGTGGGAAGATATAACTATTGAGGTTACTGAACCACCAACTAGCACAAAAACTAGTTATCTGCTTGATAACCTAAAGCACACCCACGTATAGGTGGACGCAGGGGCGAAGTTGTAAAGCACTTGAAATGCCTTCTCCCTTTCAGTTGCGAATTCTAAGCTGTCCTGAATTCATACCTTCGATACGACTTAGGCCTGTTTATGACATTTGAACGTAAAGTCCCGAATTACGATAAGCCCACGCGATAATCCCCTAGCGTCGAGCACTCTCAGACGAAATGATTAGAGCTACTAACGCCCATAACACCTGTCGTTCATGTAAAATAACAGAAGAGCTCTCGGTGACCCAACACATAGCGCCTTGACATACTTAGATAAGAACGATAACTTGTTGTCAACGAGGAGTGTTTGTGTCGACAAAATATAGACTTCAGGACCAACGGTCATAAGGAGGAGAAAAGGGACTTACATGGACATTCCTTCACTGGAAGTATACCCCAATTGATGGACCAAACACGAGATCTGGGAAGTTCACAAGCCGCGTAGGAACCCCTCAATACACTTATTTCACAACCTGCGGCAGCAACGGATCTCCAGTGCCAACTACCCGCGCCTTAGATTACTTATGACAGGCTCGGCAGTCAAGCACTGCAGGCAGCTCTAACATGAATAGACACAGAATTAATCTCACTCAAATACGTTGTGTGGTCTACACGCGCTAAACAACCTAAAGATTTTTGCCATCGACTCTAGAAGGGAACTTCCAGACAAAAGCGAGAAACGGACGCGATATAGGTAGTCTTTGAAGCGTTAAATTCTTCTCTTACCTAATCACAGCCAAACGCTAGAACACAGCTAACTCCTACACCTATAGATTGCAAAACCCACTACACCGAGGCGCACGAGTGTAACTAAATATGGTCAACACATGAATGGCATCCATGACGACCACGGTACCAACGTCACACTTTGTGTGACCTATATGAACAGCATAGTCTCGTCTGATGTATGCCGGACAGACAATAATCACAGTACATAATGTGAGTTAATACACTAAAAAGACTAGGGTACTACCCCCAAACAATAACTCATCACTACATAAAGATACAGAGCATGAAATAATGAGGATAAATTTATTACAAACAAAAATTAAAAGCATTTGCGATGAACAATACCGGGACCAGATTCATCATATTCCTGTTTGGAAATCCACATCTGTTGGAATGTTGATAATGAAGCCAAAATAGAACCACCAATCCATACAGAGTACTTCCTCTCAGGTGGTGCAACTATCTTAATCTTCATAGTGCTGGGGGCTAGAGCGCTAATCTCCTTTTGCATACGGTCAGCAATACCAGGATACATTGTACTTCCACCCGACAATACTGTATTTGCATACAAATCCTTTCGTATATCTACATCACACTTCATGATGGAGTTGTAAGTGGTCTCATGAATACCGGCGGATTCCATCCCCAGGAAACTAGGTTGGAGAAGAGCTTCTGGACATCTGAATCGTTCATTACCAATAGTGATAACTTGACCATCTGGAAGTTCGTAACTCTTCTCCAAAGCAGAACTCGATGCTGCAGTACCCATCTCCTGCTCAAAATCCAAAGCAACATAACAAAGCTTCTCCTTTATATCTCGGACAATTTCACGTTCTGCAGTAGTAGTAAAACTGTAACCTCTCTCAGTCAGGATCTTCATCATATAGTCGGTAAGATCTCTACCAGCAAGGTCCAGACGCAAAATGGCATGGGGCAATGCATAACCTTCGTAAATTGGAACCGTGTGGGTCACACCATCACCTGAGTCCAACACGATACCAGTTGTACGACCAGATGCATACAGTGACAACACTGCCTGAATAGCAACATACATAGCTGGAGCATTAAAAGTTTCAAACATGATCTGTGTCATCTTCTCACGATTCGCTTTCGGGTTCAATGGGGCTTCTGTCAACAACACTGGGTGTTCTTCTGGAGCCACTCGCAACTCGTTGTAGAATGTATGGTGCCATATCTTCTCCATATCATCCCAGTTAGTCACAATACCATGTTCAATCGGGTACTTTAGAGTCAGGATACCACGTTTCGATTGAGCCTCGTCTCCCACATAACTGTCTTTTTGACCCATTCCCACCATCACTCCTTGATGTCTAGGTCTTCCAACAATGGATGGGAACACAGCTCTGGGAGCGTCATCTCCAGCGAAGCCAGCTTTGCACATACCAGACCCATTGTCGATAACAAGAGCAGCAACTTCTTCCTCAGCCATATCTCTAAGTAGTGAGACAATTGATTCACTTTACTAAATACGTTTGATGAAATGACCATAAATGGCTAACTTTGCATTTATGAAATCGGCCAATCAGTAAACGGCTTGCTCAATCAATAATGTAACAATTACCAATGCTAATTTATTAGCTATCTGCCCAGATAATTTATTGGTTGCCCGCATTATTGATCAATTATTAAACGTTCCTTTTGTGGGCCTGAATTTCGGTCTGCCTACTCCCGTAAAAAAGATACCTTAATTTTTTAGTAAGGAGACTTGAGACTTGAGACCACGAGATATCAATCAGCCTGACATATGCAATTTATGATTGGTTAATTATTGAAGCTACTCTGTCTGTCTAGATGATTGGGTGTCTAAACTTGAAATAGAACTTGAAATACGTATTTGGTGTATAGCATATTTTGAGTATAGACTGGTTTTTGATCCCGAAGTAAGTGGATTGCTTCGACAACAGTACATTGTTTAGGCGCATGGCTGTAATCTTGGTGTGAAAATTATTTTAAAGTTTGACACATTCGTCTTAATGTCGTTGTAGGAAACAGACATCAATAATTCGGTCGCCTAACCCCATTACAATGGCTTATAAGTATGTGCGAATAAGAAGTTGAGAATACACTTGATCTGAGATGAAGCACGGGTGAATTGTTACAAAACTGGTAGAATCCACAACTTTTTCCTTATAAATTAAGTTAGGGGTCCATTAAAGTACATAATGTTGCAGTAGTCTGAAAAACTTGCTACTACCTAGTGGAAAGGATCTAAATGAAACTTATCGAACTGATCCTTCGTTGTAAAAGACAAATGTCATTTTGTAACGTATTTTATCCAATATCTGGACTAAGGCTACATTAAGCTGGTTACATATAAAACTACTGTGTTAGCATACGTTGATTAAAGTTATTTGGGAAAAGACAGTTCAAAGTCTCAAGTTTGCAATTAAAGTGGTCACAAAACGACTTTCAGGAAATGGATATGATCTAGACAAGATGGGAATCAACAATTTGAGTCCGCGTTTAGTTAGATAAAAGAAAGTCCCGTTACTTTAAATTATGTCATGAGTAAACAGACAATGTTGCCATTTAATATACCTACGGTTCACTTGAACAACAGTACAATGTCTGTGAAGCAATCTAACTTCATTATCGGTTAGTTTTATTCCAAGTTACGGTATTAGCTATCATTGCGCCAACTCACTCCATCATTTCAAAGTGTGAAATGAATAATGTACAAAATTTGTAGTAGGAATTTATTTCTGATGTAAATCAAATACCATAACACAATCATCTACGGTTGTCACTACATTTAATTACTGAACTCAATTCCAGAAAATATCCAAGCATGTATTGTCTATACCGTTATCCCCAACTATTGGTTGAATAGCAGAAACCACCTAAAATTAGAATTTTCAGTGCACTGAAGACAGTTCAGCTGATTTGTACACTTTTGTTCTTTCTGTGAACAACGCTTATCCATATGTTCGAGGAAAATTAAAACTATACCAGAAATAGTTCGACTGACGTTGAACTTCATCAAAACACAATCCTATTGAATTCCTAAATGACTGACCCTAAACTATCGTTAAAAACAAGAAAATATTGGAGTTCAGTACTAAGACGAAACAGCCGTCTGCTGTTGCCTGCTTCTTAATGGCGGTCAAAGATCAGTCCACGATGCAAACTAGAAAACTCAGTAATCTCCATAAACCACCACTCCTTTCCTATATTGATCCGGCTGTGTCATTCCGCGTACACTAGTGTGTCTGTCTATGCCAATTAACAAGTAGCTTCTGAAATATTTTATTTTGATTATTTGTATAAAATCTGACACGTTTTTATTGGACCAGACTGAATTTAACTGAGATTATCAACAATATGCTACATCTCAGCAAAAAATAAAACTAGCAATTCTTTATTAAAGAGGAAGAATGTATTTATAAAATCTCAGGGAATGAATTTGAAGTAAATCCAACGTTTCTCCTGGTAATCTGGTCCAAGCGTTTTCAAAGAAATATAATCAAACATCAAAATTATCGAATATGAATACGTACATGGTTCTCCGGTTCACTGTATACTGACTATGTCATTTAATCAACGTTAACAATTTTTGAAAGTAGGTATTTGCGTTATTGTGTAAGAGACATGTGTTGTGAAACGAAAAGTGTTCACTGTATATTGTCTTTGGTCGATGAATATTAAGAAAACACATAATTTTTGTATATGATATGAATCAAAAATGTCACAGCTTGCATAAAATGAAGACAAATAAACAAGATAAAAGAATGAATTCAAAGAGGAAGGATGTATTTGTAATTGAAAGTTTGTCATGTTTTAATGTTCGAGTCAATTGTTTAATATATTCAGATAAGGTAACTGATTTGAACCGTTGAATGTAATATCTGTTATGTAGTTAATACAAGATAGGTAGAATGAAATAAGGAGTTCAGGTTTACTTATTAATTATTATTTGCCATGGGATAGCTAGTTGTATTCCATCTCTCCTATTAATACTGTTTGGATTAGCCCATATATGTAGTGCTTAGGCTGTTAGTCTTTCTTTGGTAGAATAAACATAATTCTGTTGTTCCTCCTTGTGTATTGGATCTTTGATTTGTACTAGTTTTGATCTTAGAGTGTTGTTTGTTCGAAAGAATACTCTTATATTTTGAAAAGTTAGAATCCTTCCGATCTCTTCTGAAATACCTTTACGATATGGGATCACCGCTGTGTTAATCCATTCTTTTTGCTTAACCATTTTTTTGATAATATCGTTTTGTTCTTCATTCTTAATTATTCTTTTAATAAAATCCTTCGAATAATTATTCAACATTAGATTGGATATAATTAAATTCATTTTCATTTCTATATCATTTGGTTCAGTGATAGGTTTTTGAACTGTGGTGATTAAATTTTTGGCTACTGTCAATTTGGTAGAGTGTGGATGCACTGACTTAAATTCTAGAAATTTCTTTGAATATGTCGGCTTTAGGAAAACACTGATTTTTAAACAATCATTATATTTCCCTTCAACTAAACAGTCTAGAACAGGTAATTTCCGTTCAGGAGATCCCAACTCCTTAGAGAACTTTATTTTGTCATAAATGTTGTTGACACGTCTAAATAGTTCGTCTAAACCATTTCGTTTTATAATAACAAAGTGTCATCTACGTATCTGAACCAAATTTTCGGCGGAAAGGAACACATTGACATAGCACTGGTTTCCAATGAATGCAACAACTGGCGGAACCGATGATCCCATAGCTATCTTAACACTTTTCGTTTCACAACACATGTCTCTTACACAATAACGCAAATACCTACTTTCAAAAATTGTTAACGTTGATTAAATGACATAGTCAGTATACAGTGAACCGGAGAACCATGTACGTATTCATATTCGATAATTTTGATGTTTGATTATATTTCTTTGAAAACGCTTGGACCAGATTGCCAGGAGAAACGTTGGATTTACTTCAAATTCATTCCCTGAGATTTTACGAATACATACTTTCCCTTTAATGTCTCACATCAACTCGGCGCCCAAATACTGTGAAACTATTCAATCAAATTTAGCCGAAAGTTCTTATTTAGTAATTCTTTAGTTTCATGTTATGTACATATACATCAATATATCATTAGGATTATTATTTCGAATGTTTCATCAACAATGAAACATCAAATTTACAGTAAAATATAATCAAAGTAAAATGATATTATAATTATGATAAGATCTGTTTACAATAGCCACACAATGAATCAAATGTTTGACCATCGTTACGAATCATTACAAATTATTTCTAACGACTTAAAAAAGTCCTAAAAAAAATTTTCAGTATGAGTTATCTTGTGTTATTGACTAATGGTAGATATTGGTGGGAAGGGGCAATGATATTGGGTTAACGTATCAGCCTCGAATGTCACATGTGAGCATAACAAATAAAGTTAGTTGATGAATAGATGGATTGGTGGTTAAGTAGAGTATATTGAACTATGATTTAGTGGACAACTGTTGAACTCATCTCACTGAATGAGAATATTTAAATAATTTGTTACTAAGAAATTCAGTAAGATTGTATCCTGTTGAAGTTCTGAAAGCGAACAATTGCAGCTTAGAACGTATATTTCCAAAAACTGACTCACTAGCCTGTCATGATTAAATTTTTAGTATGTGTTAGTCTAGACTAGCTCACAACGTTTTCTGTAAAAACTAACGATTATAGAAGCACTTTAATAATGTAGCTAGAGGCCGGCATGCTACAGATATCGGTATGACAACTTGTACAAAACAACAACATTATTACATAGGTTTACTGGTATTTTGTTTTTCAGTTTTACGTGTTAATAATGGCTGAAGTATTCTTGATATAATTTTATGATGTTTGGTAACGTAATAATCGATCTCATTGTTGCTTTAATATTATCAGTAACTTGGAGATGAAGCCCACTCCAGTAGTTATACTGATTTTTAGTTAACTCCTACCCATTTTATCCATAAATCTTGGAAATGTCATTCT